TTTTGCTGCATATAGTCACAGACACTACGCATGCGCACATCTTCGATGTTGCCAGATTGCAAGTTATTTTGGAATTATTTTCAGTAGAAAACAAATATGTGCTTTTCTGTGTTTTTTTGTCAATATATTCAGTATGATCGAAAAAATCGGCGTCAGTTGGCTGGGAAATGACGATTGAGGACATTTCTCATATAAAATGACAGCGATCTTCATTTCATAGTCATCGCTGACGCTATTTTTCAATCATAGTACGCGGTATATTATTTATATTCTTATTTTAATATTTCGCACAACACGTGAAACGTGAACGCTTATTATGTATTTTTTATAGTCAATAAAATTAAATAGAAATAAAATTCTAGATTCCTATAATTAATCTAATTGCTCTAGATTATTATGCTATATGTTTAAAAAAGTGCTTTATTAAAAATTCGGTAAATATTAAAGGGATGTGTCCAAGTTGTTTTTATTTTTAAATGCTGTAGCTCCATGTCATGTTTATAATAGCCTTTTAGCCTCCGTAATTAAAATTGTAGAATCATCTTGAGCAACATTTACAGTTAACTTGTTTAATTCTGCTTATACATATATTGCATTAATTTTTCTGCTACCTTAAGATTTCTCTATTCTTACACCTAATTTATGTGATTTTCTTAGCATAATATGATTTATAAACCATATTTTTCCTAATGGAAGGATGGAATAGGATATGCAAAATTAAGATATTTTAACATTTATTTTCCAGACAAAGCATAATATAGTATTAGGATTAAGACATGACAAATATTATAAGAAAGATCTTAATATAAATCACAAACTAATTACAAACTAATCTTAATTTGGTCTTGTATAAACACAGGTGTAAAACTAATAAGATCAAATATCTCAACCTTCACCATATTGACAAGATTTGGCATTATAGCAAGAAATTACAGTAAATTAAGAAAAGAATATCAAAGTACACAATATTAAATACTGTAATGTATTCTACGACACAAACCATCTCCCTTCTAAAGAGAAAAAGATAAAACATAAAGCTTATTTTAGTCTTATCAACACACTCTTCGATAAAATATATGTCTAAAATTGCTGTTAATCCACTAACTTGATATTTTTAAGAAATTATGATACAAATATTATAATCAAAGTATATTATATTAGTAACATGACGTGTATTGTTCTATGTATAAGACTCGTCATGGTAGTATTTCAAAACATCAATACATATAATCAAAACTATTGTTGCCTGTAAATAACTAGAAATTAAATAACTTGAAAGAAATAAAATAATTCTAATAAGTTTAAAACCATTAAGAAGAAATCCGTACATGATAATTTTTAATTTTAATGTATATATATAAATAAATGTTATTATTATTACAATTTTATATATTCATAATTCTTTCATTTCACAATCTTCATTATTCTTCTTATCTTAATTTTGGATATCAAGATAAATCTGAAATTATAAAATTAATTATATAGAATTTAATGTAAATGTAAATAGAAAAAATTATAAAATTAATTATATAGAAATGTAATGTAAATAACTAGAAATTAAATAACTTGAAAGAAATAAAATAATTCTAATAAGTTTAAAACCATTAAGAAGAAATCCGTACATGATAATTTTTAATTTTAATGTAAATATATAAATAAATGTTATTATTATTACAATTTTATATATTCATAATTCTTTCATTTCACAATCTTCACTATTCTTCTTATCTTAATTTTGGATATCAAGATAAATCTGAAATTATAAAATTAATTATATAGAATTTGTATTAATATTGATTAACACTCAAAAAAAAATTTTTAACTGCAAATAATTCGAAAATAAACTGCAAATTGGCAACATCGAAGATGTGCGCTTGCGTAGTATCGATGATCAAATGCAGCAAATATGGCCTTCAAGGTCAGCCACCGGATCCACACCTTTACCAGGATACATTAAAATACGCAACCAACCGTCCAATCAGATGAAAGAGGTACGTACCACAGAACAGATACAAATCAGAAATTTCACTGAACGTCGGTGCTTTTCAAGTGTGTTGTAAGAATTCTGTTCCTCGCGCACAGATTTCATCCTCCTGCGCGCCGCACAGCTGATCATTAGTTGATGGCTTTAAACGAGCCAGGGTCGAACTCAGATACGTGTGAATCGTGACAGGAGCGTATTTCGTTTTTTAACAGTATTTATTTGAAAAAGTAAGATTTAGTAGTGACAAAATAAATAATGTGTAAAAATAATACGAAAAATCATGCCAATTGATTCAAATGTTTAAAGCGTTATTTTACAAAAAAAGTGTTCATTGAGTTGAGTCATTGTTTTGTATCTCGTTTTTTAGAAATAAACATTAATATTTAATTTTCAAAGAGAATAATCACAAAAATAATTCGGACAAGGTGGGTTTTGTGGCAGTATGATACCGTATGATCGAGAAAGAACGGCGTCAGCGTTGGCTTTGAAATGAAGATCGCTGTCATTTTATATGTAAATTTATATGGGAAAGTCATCGATCGTCGTTTCCCAGCCAACTGGACGCCGTTTTTTTTCGATCATACGGTATATACGCCGTATGATCGAATAAAAACGGCCTCAGCGATGGCTATGAAATGAAGATCGCTGTCATTTTATATGGGAAATGTCATCGATTGTCATTTCATAGCCATCATGACGCCGTTTTATTCGATCATACTACTTAATAATAAAGGGGCCTAGGAAAAAAATGCAGGATTTGCAATAAGTAATAAGGATTTTGCTGCAGTAACCTAATTTGTAGTGAATTTTTATAGGAATAAGCGACTTTTAACTGCAGTTTGGGACCCTGTTTATGTAAATTTCAGGGTCCCACTATAAGCTTGACGCTGTCATGATTTTATGATTCAGCAATTTTATTTTTTTTCAATACAAACGTTCATTTGAAAATGTAGACAGAATATAATAAAAACAATTTGACTGAAATAAAATAACATTTTATTTGTTATTATAAATATGTAAAAATTATACATATAATCGTAGCAATGTGATATTAGGTACAAAATCTAATACAATTACTTAAATGTAAATGATCCTAAAATTTATTAATACAAATGAAAAATTAAAAAAAAAGAATAGATAAATATATATCATCTAACTAAACTTACTTGCTAATTAAAAATATCTAAAAAAAAATCTGTATTTAAGAACCTATCGTATTTAGAAACATATCTATATAAAATAAAATCGATAAAAATTTAGTTTTAATAACACAACTTGCTTTTATTTTACCGTTTTAAATAAATATTATTTATAAAAAATATGTTCGTAAAATATATGAAAAATTACCATTGCAATAATATTTTTTTTATATTTAGCAGTAAAGCAAAATAGAGTGCAAAACTGACGATTACCTTTGGTTTTATTTATTCTAAAATCAAGTTCAATTGTTTTGGTTTAAATATTTTAATGATAATATTTTTTAACTTTTTTTGTGCAGAAAATGAGGTAAATTGTTGTTACATTTCGTACTACGTCGCAAAATGCTTCACTCAAGGGACGTTGCCATGCCGCGTTTTTCGTAATAATAATGTTAATTTTTAAGCATACTTTAATTTTCCTAATATATCAAATTCCTCATAATTATGTATATTCGGTAATTCTTGTATACTTGCGTCACTTATTTCGTTAAAGAAATGCTAAATGAGTGAAGAAATGTGGCCGTGGGATTATAATATAAAAATACATTTTTCAAGTACTGAGAATTATGGGTTACCTTGGCAACCTCACAAAAACCTTGCGCATGGTTTTGTGCCGCCTGCGCGCATATAACATAAAAAATAAAATCTTGACAACGGAAATCCCATAAGTGAAATTTCTGATTTGTATCTGTTCTGTGGACGTACCCTATCGTTGGGTATTGTGCAATCACGTGATGCTCATGTCGTATGACGGTTAAATCTTTGGTTAGAATTTTTGTTGTTGTTTTTACCGAAGAGTTTTTACCTGTTTTTACAGTTTTTACTTTATTTTTCTATTTACATCAGATTTATATTTTGTAATTGCCTATCAGACAATACGTATTTAGAAAAATAATAAGAATTAGGATCGTGTTTTTTTAAATCCTGGATATTAATTGGAACCCTTGATAACATTACTGCTTTTGATATAAAAGTGCATTTTGATTATTTACTTGGGCTAGGATATTAAAATATCGGTTGGATTGTACGACATAAATAGATGTAGGTATGATTATTTATATATATGTATGTATTTATAAAGCTTACTATCTGTTTTGCATTTTCAGTTTTTGATCAGACATTTGATTTTATTTGTGAAATGCCCACAAAAAAACTTCCAATGATTCAACATCAGTGTGTTTGCTACATAATGGATCATTCCTGCTGAATTTTTAGATCATTTGAAGACTACACGGAAAAAACCAGATAATATGTTACATTTTCATAGAAATTGACAGCGAGACAATTTTATAGGCAAGTGTTAGCATTATTCGAGGCACCATCAAAGAAAGCAATAATAATATGCTTAGTCCCAGAGATATTACAGCTTAGTTATTTTGCCCTACAGGAGAAAAACCAGAGTAGTTCACTCGTAATTGCATTTTCTCGGCTCCAGTTAAAATGAACAAAGCTGGTTTTTCCTGTGGTCTTCATTTGAAATAACGTAAATAAATGTTTATACATATGTATGTGATGATTAAATTGGTGTTAAGGAAATAAAAATGTCTTTCGATATTAATATATATTTTTCGATATTAATATATACCTAGGTATAGGTATATGTATATTTATTTTGAAATAAATTACACTTTTAACAGTTTAATGGAGTTTTTAAAGCCAGTTATAATATTTATATTTTAAAAACTTGAAATCATAATGTGGATGTAATCACGCATTAAACCACAGACTAACTTATATAAGTCAAAAAGTAGATTTTAGTGTTAACTTTATATAACTTGTAAGTAAAATAATATATAAAACAAATATGAAAAAACCAACAATTCTAATGTATATATTAAAATACAGTACAATAATAGGTATCTGATATCCTCACTTAACGTAGAATAATATTCTACCCAACTCAATACTATGTCCAACATGAGTTTCAAATATATCGGGCCCTAATCGTTCCTGAAAATAGTATTTTTTTACATTGTTATACCATATTCTAAACTATTTAATATTTCAGTCACTTAAAAAGTTAATTTGTATTGAATAATTGCCTACCATTAAAGCAAATTTGGACTAGTATTCTTAATGGGCATATTCTGTGTATGGATATAGGTACTTCCTCCAGATTTTGGGTTCAACCAATTTATTCTTAAAACCTGAAACATCTACATATAAAAAATAGACAGGTTACTAATTATAATAAAATTTACCCTTAGAATTATACTTCTTTAACAAATAATTTCCATTGGTATACTTTTCCATGACAAGTAATCAACTTCCTAACATTTTTTAATTGATGTAATACTTCCTCACGATGCGAAAAGAAAATCTTTTCTTTAGCACACAAAGGACAAACGATATGTTGGCTTACTTTCAGATTAGTTACTTTTCCATAGATATCCTCATGTCAATTCAAAGACGATGAACATGAAAATGATCATCACATGAAACATCACAAACTAAAAACCTAATAAACAAGTTTATATCGAATATAGAAATAAATTTAGTGTTCTTACCTATTGTCGTCCAAATCCACGTTAATAGATAATTAATTTTGGATTTTTATCTTTTATTTTTAAATATATCTTTCGAACCATAAAATAATTAACTAGAGAGAAGTGTCAACTCTGTGTTAAATCAGTGGAAACACGATACGCTTTTTAAATATATCTTTCGAACTACTGGTTTTAGTAATTATTAAATTAAACGAACTAAAAAATCAAAAATAATAAACAATTAATTCTCTTGTCAATTGTCAAATTTCTCCAGGTACCGAACATCATCGATAACGCACGATCTACAACGATTACTCCTTTGATCTGATTGGACGGTTCAATGACGGTTGGTTGCGTATTTTAATGTATTCTACCTTTACCGAAGAATTGAAATAGGCAATAATATACAGGGGGTTCTATTTAAAAAAATATAACTTTGATGTGCCACGACTTTATGACCGACCCTGTATACATAAATTTATTACTCGTCAATAGACATTTAAAAACCCTATATAATTTTTGTATTTAACTTTTTGCGGTACATTGGTTATTTTATCTATGCTAGACCGAAGGACAAAAATAAATATCAAGTTCAAAACACCGTAAATTTCACGAACTCACCAAATCAACATGGAGTGTCACGGCAGTTTATAATATTAGCATGTATATATTCAACATGCCTTGAGAAAATGTAAAAGAATACAGAGTGTTTGTGAGTTCACGTTAAGGAGAAGAATAAACGCATAATAAACGTACAACTTAAACGTACCTACTGTTCTTCTCTGGTTAAATGTTAAATTTCACAAAACAGTAAAACAGGAAACACAAAATAGAAAAGAAAAATATTCGGATTCTGAAAAATGTAATGTTAGTTGCATAAATTTGGACGTCAATAGAATATATTTCAACTATATTCTGTGGTATCAAACTTGATTTTTAAACTGTCCGATTTGACAGTTTATTTGGTAATTATATTCCACAGAACAAGTTCTATCTTTTATCTGTTCATCAATTAGAGAGAGATAAATATGATAAATACAACACCAATACACATACATGAGCTTGGGATAATGTAATTTTCCTATGTGGCATGAAATTCGCCATTTGAAAATTCTAAACGATCACTTTTTAGCTTCTTTTAATTGACATTTGACATTTGTTTTTAAAATGGAAACTATTGTTGATATCGTTGATATTCATTTTTCATATTTTTGTGATATGTGATTAAAGTATAGTTTGAAAAGTGAAATAATTAAACTACTACAATTTAAATTACAGCACATCTAAGTTATGATAAAAAATGTAAAGCGGGGCCATTTGATACTGAATAATTGTTGTAAACATAACATCTTCCGCTATGTCCAACTCGGCAAATGGTAAACTGAGGGGTCCTGGCCGGCCTCCGAAAAAAGGACTGTCATGCACTTGGTGTAATGAAACGAAACTCCCACTGAAATATGTTTTTCCTATTACAAATGGAAAGAAAGAATTCTGCTCTGAAACATGCTTGTCAGAGTTTCGAAAAGCATACATGAAAGGTGGTGCTTGTTTGCAATGTGACAATGTAATTAGAATCACCAGTAACCCTTCGAAAGACTATTGTTCCACATTTTGTATGAACAAACATCAGAAGAAGGAAATGCGCGTAGCAGCAGTTGCTCCAACTACCCCGTTGGAAGCTTCACCAGGGCCGTTTCAATATGAAACATATCAACAGTTTGACTGGGAGGAGTACTTGCATGAAAACAATAGTGAAGCGGCCCCTCAAAATTGTTTTAGACAATCAGTAAGTCCTCCTCAAAATGATTTTAAAGTGGGAATGAAATTGGAGGCCTTAGATCCAAGAAATGTAACGTCTACTTGTATTGCTACTGTTATTTGTATATTAGGACCTAGATTAAGACTACGTTTAGATGGCAGTGATAATAAGAATGATTTCTGGCGTCTCGTTGATTCAAGTGAAATTCACCAAATTGGTCATTGTGAGAAGTCAGGTGGTATGTTACAGCCTCCTCTTGGTAAGTTTATCATATACCTTTTTAAATAAATGCTCTAAAATAACACTTTTTAGGGTTTCGCATGAATGCTAGTTCTTGGCCAATGTTTTTGCTAAAAACACTAAATGGTGCCGAAATGGCTCCATCTAAAGTTTTTCAAAAAGAACCTCCCAGTCCCAGGACCAATTTGTTCCAAGTTGGCCAAAAACTAGAAGCGGTGGACAAAAAGAATCCTCAACTGATATGCTGTGCTACAGTTGGGGCAATAAAAAATGACCAGATTCACGTTACATTTGATGGATGGAGAGGAGCTTTTGATTACTGGTGCAAATATGATAGTCGTGATATCTTTCCTGTAGGGTGGTGTGCAAAATCAGGGCATCCCTTACAGCCTCCAGGTCAGAAAAATAATAATGGAGCTAATAGGTATGTACTGTGTTAAATATTTGTAGGTTAGAAAATCAGAAAGTAGAAAAGGAGATAAAAATTAGGATGTACTTAAACAGCCGTTAACGGTAGCCTACTAAAATGCCGTTAATAGATATTGTGACGTCTTTAATGTCGGCGGAAAGTAATGCCTAGCCATAAGCATATTGCAAGAGCACCTGTGGCTCCGTGGCTGAGGCTATCGGTTCGTGAGCGAATGGTCTGGGGTTCAAATCTCACGCTGACCAACACTTTTTTATATTTTTTTTTGCTTATAGCGTGATCTTATTGCATTGGCTTCACTCTTTTTGGTTGGATTGGTTTAGTTATTTGGCGGGTTGGTTAGCGTGGTTATTTGGAGGGTGTTAATTCATTGGTTAGTTGGTTATTTGGTGGGGTTGGTTGGTTTTTACTAATTTATATTTGTTTTTTAAATTTTTTTATTAGTGTCGAGGTTAGTTGCGTTGGTTAAGTTGGTTATTTAGTGGGTGGATAGCTTTGGTTAGTCCTTATATAATTCCTATATTTCATAAAGCCGTCAAGTGCGTCACATCAACAACGTCATACCTATTAACGGCATTTTAGTAAGCTACCGTTTAACGGCAGTTTAAGTACAGCTTAAAAATTAACATAATATATTCATTTTGCATTATATGTACCTTATGTTTGAGCTATTTTGTAACCAGAATTTTTTAGTGTAAAAAAGGTGCTTGTCAGATATAACACCTTTCAAATTTTGTTCAAATTTTTCCGAAACTGAAAAAGTAAATTAGAATTGTTGGAATTATTAATCAAAAACTGTTACAATTATTGTGCATTGAAGTTTGACAATGAATATTTTTTCAACAGTTAATTTAATGGACTAATCATAAGCAACCATTTTTGTAGAGCAGTGAATTTCCTACAAAACCTTGAGTTGTGGGTATCATAATGATTTTTTGCTAATGAGTTATAAATTCATAAGAAAACTGCCTTAAAATAATCAAACTTCAACATTTAATGACTTTTGGAGGAAGTTACAAAAAAATTGTAAGAGACCTTTTTTGTAGAGAATTCAATTTTCTACAAATATATAAGACGAGATATTTTTTCCAAATAGTAGCTACGGAGATTTTTTCTTTCTGATAATAAGGAAAAAGTAGAAAACTGAAAGGCATAGGACCTTCCTCTTAAAATTAAGAGCTCATACTTGGAGGGAATTTTTAGGCGTCTATCAACCTTTTTCTTAAGATACATCGAATCTAAATAGGCTGAATTAGCCAGTGGTCGGACAGTTTAGAAAAAGTTGAGTGATTAAATTTTCTTTATTGATGGAATGGAAATGAAATTTTATGAAATAGATAGTGTGGTTATTGGGCCTTACATTAAATATAACAGTTTTTTAACCTACCTATGAGTTTAATTATGTTCTAAGTGATAAAAGTGCTGTTTTGTCAGTAGTCGGACAGCGCCTGCCAGTGTCCGGCCGGGTAGTTACCAGAAGTCGGACACTTTGTGATGGGCTGATTCTGCACAGTCCGGTATTTAATATACCGGGTGCGTCTCAAAAGTGGCTCACCCCTTTAACTTTTTTATTTTTTCAGATAAAATAACGAGACTTTGTACGTTAGTATATAATAAATCAGGATTGATTGACATACCTATTCAATTGTTTTTGGTCACCTCCTGTTTCACCGGAAATGACTACAACTTTTGATTTTTAAATGGCACCCTCGGTATTTTTTTTACTTTATTCAATAGAAAATGACGTTCTGAATAGAATGACATATTTTATGTCAACTTTTAACATTCTCGCTTAATAAAAAATTGTATTTTAAATTTCAATCTAGAGTGTCATGGCTATGTTAAAAGCGCTAATATTTAATCAAGGAGCCTTGGAAAAATAGATTGGATTGTCTAAGGTTTTTAGTGTCTTGTCCTGGCCAGTTAGAAAATGCCCAAATCGTATTTTTAATCATATGTTAATTTTTTCGAATGGAACGAGGGTGGCTCATTAGCGAAAAAAGCATTTTTTTACGAATAATTTGATACCACTCACTTGGTATTTCGAGTCAAATTTTCGTTATGAACCGCAAGTTATAATTTCAAATAAACTTTTGATATATCACCCTTTTCATATGCGAAAATGTCAAAAGTGGACATAATATGTCATTCTATTCAGAGTGTTATTTTCTATCGAATAAAGTAAAAAAATACCGAGGGTGCCATTTAAAAATCAAAAGTTGTAGTCATTTCCGGTAAAACAGGAAGTGACCGAAAACAGTTGAATACGTCAATCAATCCTAATTTATGTCATATACTAACATACCAAATCTTGATTTTTTAGCTGAAAAAATAAAAAAGTTATAGGGGTGAACCACTTTTGAGACGCACCCGGTATATATAATTTTAAAGCAAAAAATCTTGAACATTGTTTACCGTTTTTTGTTGTATGTTATTTATATGAAAAAATCATCTTTAAAGGATAGCAAAGCGGTTCATGCTTCCATTAGTAAACAGCGTTTTCAATTTTTCTTCTTCTAGATACAATTTTTTCAACTGTATTAAGTAACACCTGTTTTTTTATTGGAAATCCGCAAACGGGTAAGTTTTCAATCCCGGTAACAATGTTTTTTGTTAATTTCTCTGGTTAAAACAAGTTCTGGTTCCATTCGTTTGCAAACCTCGCTTACTTAGTCGCAACTGTTGACTTGGAATTCTGTACTGACTTCATATTTTACGCGATATTCCCTCTTCTCGGACAGTTTGGACTGTTTTTTCTAATGCATCTTTATTGTATTGATGAAAACTCCCTTTACTTTAGACTTCATGCTTGAAAATAACCAAAATATCATAAAAAATCAGTCTGAACTCTGCAATATGACGTCGAAAAGAGGCTACTGTCCCAAGAACGGTAAACTAATAGGATTGCTCATCCTCATAAGACGTACGTTCGCCTCTTCCCGCGCTTCAGCTGACAGTTGTGACGTCATTGTAGTCCTTGTCATGATAATGTGTATTCTAGTTGCCTATGGTAAACTTATCAAAATAACAGCTGAGAAATTTTGAGTTAATTATTTTGTCAATTTTAAATGTGAAAAAGGTGTTTTTAAAGTTTTTAGAGCTGTAAAGTTTATAAATACGTTCATTTTATGTTGTGGATTGTGACAAAGTGCTTACCAAGTGCCTACGATATTGTTCATTAATTATTTTAAAGCAAAATATGGAAGTACTCTAAAAAGAATGCTTGAAAAAAGTGATGCTGGGAACTGCTGTTCTTAAAAATGCATTATCCGAGTATTTAATACGATTTATACAGTTAATTTTCTATACTGCATAACATATAAGGTGTTTAAATAAATAAACTAAATAATGAACGTTTTGCATTCGGCAACCAATAACGCACGTGTGTGTATTATTGGTTGCCGGGTAAGGACTAATAACCGTGTAATAACCATGACAAGGACTACAATGACGTCACAAAGCGAGTAGTTTTCGCATGCACCTGGCGGACACTTTTGGCTGAATGAGCAGTCCTATTAGGTTAACTGTTCTTGCTACTGGCCGCCCTCTCAAATATATTAAATTTGGCGTTGACCAGTGGTCGGACAACTTTTATTTCCTTTGATCTGCGTTTGTGTTGAATTTTTGTTGTCCGACCACTAAACACTACCAAAAACTCATGTTTCATTATATTTCAAACGAAAAAGACAGTAGATATTATTACATATCAATTATCAAGAAAAAAGACTAAAACAAAAGAGTTATTTTTGTCCGAGTGTCCGACTACTGGACTTAGAACAAAATTATATTTAGTTTATCGGACACATAAATTTAATATTAAAAAGTATCCTTTTTTGTTATTTGAAATAAATGTTTAGACTATTCTACATACATGTAAAGTTATAAGTACTTCATAAATTAGATACAAAATTTTTAAATTACCTTACAAACTATCTCACCTCCATCTTTAACAGGCAAAAATTAAGAAGCACACACATGTGGTCACTTTCCCGAATTTTTAACGGTTTCAGGGTGACGCTTCGTCCTACGTGGGCGACAAAAGCGAGCGGGCGACGCGTGCGACAACAGAGGGCGATGAGCTCGATTCGCGCGACATATTTCAATCGCATGCGATGCCGCTTCAGTCGCGCGTCATCGCGCGCATCCTACCTAGAACAGCTTCGTAAGAAAACGTTGTTTGATAAATACGCGTCGCTCGCACCGCTCGAATCGCGCTATTTTGTTTCCCACGTAGGACGAAGCGTTAGCCCACGGCCACACAGAAAGCGTTTTTAGCGTTTTGCGTTTTTTGCGTCTCAAGCGCTTTTTGCGATTTTACCGTTTTAAGCGTTTTTTTCGATTTGTGTCCATTAAAAACACGCAAAAGACGCGGCAAGCTCGTGGATTCCCGGCCCGTTCAACAATCAATCCTGTGAGAAAGAGATAGGCGAGATCGGCACGGTTAGCGTTGAAGAGACGAAGATAAAAGATGCTGGGATTGAATTGTGGACGGGCCGGGGCATATATTCGGCGACAAACACAATCTACTGCTAGAGCCAGTGGTGTGTGTAAAAATAATAATTTGCCATTTATTTTACGAATTTTAGTTTATATGTGTATAGTTATTTTATGTTGTATTGTTGTGGTTACTTGTTATAGTTTTTTATGTTGTAGTGTTGTGGTTACTTGTTGTAATTATAATATAATATAATATAATAAAGAATTATTATATAATAGAATAGTAAATATCTATTACTAGTTGCTAACGCAATTTTAGGACATGATTTATAAAACTTTTTGGAGTGAAACTTCTTTACGCGCGCTGGGAGTAAACATTCAAGGCCGTGACATACGAGCTAGCGAGACGGCCCTGACACACGAGCTAGTTGTAACGAAACGTGTTAACTGCTTAGAAATACGTAGTGACGCGACGTGTATTTTTGAACAATCCACGTGTTTATCAAAAATATTGATATTTTAATACAAATTTTTTAAAAGCGAATCAAATTATTAGGTGTAAAAAACCATTTGTTACACGTAAAAAACTATTTTTATTATTTTACGCGAATAAAACTGTTATATGTAAAAAACTATTTTTTACGCGTATAAAACTATTTTTACTGGTAGAAAACTATTTTTACGCGTATAAAACTATTTGTTAAACGTAAAAAACTATTTTTTTACGCATCAAAAACTTATTGTTTCTGGTAAAAAACCTTTTTTACGTAAAAAGAAATATTTTTTACGTGTAAAAACTATTTGTTACACGTAAAAAAACTATTTTTTACGCATCAAGAACTTATTATTTCAGGTAAAAAAACTTTTTTACACAAAAAAAAATATTTTTTACGTGTAAAAACTATTTGTTACACGTAAAAAATATTTTTTTACGCGTCAAAAACTTATTGTTTCTGGTAAAAAAACGTTTTTAACGCAAAAAAAAAATATTTTTTACGTGTAAAAAAACTATTTGTTACACGTAAAAAACTATCGTTTACGTGTCAAAAACTAATTGTTTCTGGTAAAAAAACCTTTTTTACGCAAAAAAATAGATTTTTACGTGTAAAAAACTATTTGTTACACGTAAAAAACTATTTTTTACGCGTCAAAAACTTAATGTTCCTGGTAAAAAACCTTTTTTACACAAAAAAATATGTTTTACGTGTAAAAAACTATTTGTTACACGTAAAAAACTAATTTTTACGTGTCAAAACCATTTGTTTCTGTTAAAAAAAAACCTTTTTTACGCAGAAAAAAAACACTTTTTACGCATAAAAACTATTTTTTACGCGTAAGAAAATATTCCCTTAATTTATTACTTTTTCAACATTTCATTAATAGAATCTTCCTAAACAGTAGATATTCTCTATAAAAATATTTTTAGATAATATCTTAAACTGAAAAAAATGCTATTACCATTTAATTTATTTTTATTGTATTATTAAATATTACGTTCGCCTATGACGGGGTCTCATAGAAAACGCTAAAGACGCTACAGAAAACAAATTTGTTTTCATCTGCGTTTTTTGCGAGACACGCCAAGACACGGCGCGCCGACCGCTAGACGCTTTTGGTGGGGCCACTCCTATATTATCCTGTCATTTTGCTTTAGACCCAAAAGACGCTTCACGCTAAAAACGCAAAAAACGCTTTCTGTGTGGCCGTGCACTTAGGCAAAGAAAATGTTATAGGCTTGGTGCATTTCAGTTGATTTCAACAAATTCCGACCGCAGCGCTTCAACGGCAAAAATCAGAAATAATCCCTACCTATCTTACGCCGCCGCGCGCCGTCCGTCATGTTGATCGCAAAAATAATATTCAAATCGTGGTTTTGTCATAATATTTAAGTATTTTAGTTTTTTGCTAGCGCAGTTATTGAAACTATAAAACACTCCGGTACGAGGTGTGTGTGATGTAACGCTATTTCGGGTAGTAAAAAATAAATGAAAAAAAATCCCAACTAGGTATATCGGTCGTGTTGTGTTGTGACAATTTTAAATGTTAATAAAATTGCCCAAAAAAATGCTAACGCGTAAAGGAGAGCGCAATTAGGGCGTTGTTGGATGCAATAACACTTAATAACTCAACTTTTCCGGATATTCAACTCTCCCCAAAACAACATTTTATACCTTCCTAATTTCTTACACCGATTTGATCAATAGCAAAAATGGATTCAAGCAGTTCCACGAAACAAGTGAGTAAACAAAGTGCTCGTTACATAATCAAAAAATTAAATAGATATATGCTATGAGGGGATGAAATATAATTTGTGCAATATTAATGGTATACTTTTCTAATCAACTAGTGATTAAATATTTTATGAACATCTAAAATTATAATTATGTACCTTTAAAAAATTTGGTTATAACACTCTAGACCAAACCAAACCGAAATTCCAATTATGCCCCGCTAGCGAAACCGGTGATAAAACTATGCTTGCTACCGTAGTTGAACTCATCTAATTTTTTTTAACTGGAATAATAAATTTTAATGCAAGACCATCTGAAGATATCAAAATATTTACCTTTTTATTTTTTTTTGTTTAGAATTTCCACAAATTATACTTTCTAACACTTTTAGAATAATTATATACTAACTTCTTCGTTTACTCGCCATTTAAACCCGTGTATTTGTATGTATTCGTTATTTACGATATTCTCCGGCAGAGAATGCACCAAGCTTATAGAACAAAGCGGAAGAATTGGTAGAATTGTTTTTTTTAATTATTTGAAGCCATACTAAGCCATATTTTTAACTTATTTCCTAATAAATAGGTTTTGTCCGACCACTGGTGTACGTCCGACTACTACCACTGTCAGAGTTTTTTGACCCACCCTACTATATATCGCATTTTGCTCTTTCAGGTTTAGATTTAGGCCATCCTTCGTGGCATTCCCACCCACACCCCCAGTCAGTTCTTCGGTGCCCGATGTAGTCCAAGCCCCGGAAGCGGACACCTCCGCCCCATCGGCCCCTTCTACACCGATCTACTTTAGAAAGAAATGCAGTGGCGGTCCCTTAATCGATACCGCTCAATTGGCCACCACGATCGAAGACTCTTCTCCGATTGGTTTGGCGAAAAAGCTGGTCGGTCAGCTGCTGGACTCCTCAAATAAATCGGAGAAGATTCTGGCCCGGTTGAGCGCCCTGAACGGCGAGGAGGTCGTTCTGAGCCACGAGGGTACCACGTACACCATCAAGTTGCCGCAATTGAACGCGGTGTCGGACTTCGAGAACGTGTTTCAGGCTGTGAGTCAAGCTTTAGGGTGTTGTCAACATCTGTTTGGTGAGTTTATATCTTTGTTTCCTTTAGAATAATAATAATAATACATATTTATTATATTATACACATCTTTATTATTTATTAATTATATTATTTCAAAATTGTATAATAAAGCGAAACAGCGTTAACTAGCGAGAAAAAAAGCTAATACTAACTTAAAAGTAAATCATTAGCTTAAGCAGAGTTTACACTGTGTCACTTTGGATGTACAACCAAAATGAATCACTCAGACTGAATTCATCCAAATTGAACATTTTTACATATTTTCATCCAGTTCGCAGCAGTTCACTGTTTCATCTTTCGCAGGCTGCCACCTCTCCCAGTGTTTTCTATATCGAGGTTGGCCGCACGGGTCGGCGTCGGCTGTTTACATTTTTCACTAGCCGTTTAATCTGGATGAATCAACGGTTCGTTGAACGCTTCTTTCAACAAAAGTAGGAAGACCGTCAACTTGTTTCATCGTTCAATTTTTAGTACATGTACACTTTGGATGAAACAGTGATGAAAGGCAATTTTTTATACTTATTACTTTGGATGATTCATCCAAGTTGTACATCCAAAGTGACAAATGTAAATGAGCCTTACATACCTAATGCATATTTCTAATTTACAGTCCCATATTCAAATAATCATACAGAGTGTATGGTTCCAATTTAATCAGCATTTTTTTTAAATTTATTCCCGAACAAGTTCTTAATCTTCTTTCTAAATTCTTAATCAACAATTATTTCTAGTTTATGTAGCGCTAAAATTCTGATTTCGAATGTTGTATTTCATCTTATCATTTATTTCAAAAAGATGTTTATTGTTATAGAGGGGCATTATACATTCATATATTGTATACCGGGTGTGTCTTAAATGTGGCTCACCCCTATAATATCTTTTTTATTTTTTCAGATAAAAAAAATGAGATTTGGTATATTAGTATATATGGCATAAATTAGGATTAATTGACGTATTCAATTGTTTTTGGCAACTTCCTGTTTCACCAGAAATGGTTACAACTTTTGACTTTTAAATGGCACCCTCGGTATTTTTTACTTTCTTCGATAGAAAATGACATTCTGAATAGAATGGCATATCATATGTCAACTTTTGACATTCTCGTTTAATAAAAAATCGTATCTTAAATGTCAATCTATAGTGCCACGGCTGTGTTAAAAACACTAATTCTTAATCAAACAGTCTTGGAAAAATAGATTTGATCGTCTAATGTTTTTAGTGTCTTGTCCTGGCCTGTTAGAAAATGCTCAAATCGTATTTTTAGTCATATCTCAATTTTTTCAAATGGAAGCATTTTTTATGAATAATTTGATATCACACACTTGATATTTTGAGTCAAAAATTTTCGTTACTTACCGCAAGTTATAATTTCAAATAAACCATATGCAAAAATGTCAAAAGTTGACATATGATATGTCATTCTATTTAGAGTGTTATTTTCTATGGAATAAAGTAAAAAAATACCGAGGGTGTCATTTAAAAATCAAAAGTTGTAGTCATTTCCGGTGAAACAGGAAGTGACCAAAAACAATTGAATACGTCAATCAATCCTAATTTATGTCATAAAGTAACATACCAAATCTCGTTTTTTTAAGTGAAAAAATAAAAAAGTTATCGGGGTAAGCCAATTTTGAGACGCACCCGGTATAAACTACATAAACTGTCATTACTCACAAGTCTTTTGAAAATTGCTCTACATGATTGGTGATATCACATTTTTTAATAACGCGTATAATTCGCTTTTGTACTGTGAAAATATTTTGACTTATACTATCACGATCCCATAAAATAATTCCATATTTTAAAACAGACTCAAAATTTTCAAAATACAGAATTTTTAAAGCTTTCTGGTCTATATACTATTGTACTTTTGTACATACGAAAATCGACACTCTAAAGCCAGAATTTGCCGACCCTGTATAATTCTGGTTCAACATTCAGTATTTGAGGCTACCAGCGCAAAAACGGCCTAACCCCAAAAAGCTTGTTTTGAGAAAACTTGGAATAAAGTTTAGTGGCAATAACGCTACTAGTTTAATTCTCGAACACTATTTTGATATTTTGCTGCAAATATATGTCTAAAGACCCAATGAACTAAAATATAGACATAAGATTATGAAAGAAGAACGAAATTATTGGACAAAACCCACCGTAAGATTAGCCGTGAAACCATAACTAAAATATGACTCCCCGCAGACACTTAGTGTGTCTGCCTTCCGGCTTCATATACGGGAGGAATCAGCAACGATTAACTAGTGATCCTGAAAAAAGAAAAGCAGGTAACCAGGTGGCAAATGGTGCCTCGTGCCTCGTTTGCTGCCCTTTTTCTTTTTTCAGGATCACTAGTTCATCGTTGCTGATTCCTCCCGTATTGATGAAGCCGGAAGGCAGAAACACTAATTGTCTATGGGTAGTCATATTGTAGATTGTAGTCTTGTTTTTATGGCTAATCTTACTGTAGGTTTCGCCCAATAATTTTGTTCTTTTTTATTACAGTCCCCACGATAAGATCTTTTGTTCATAAGAATATCTATAATAAATATTGATTAATAAAAAAATGTGGGCTAGGCTGTTTTTCTTAAGCGTTTAGTTAGTAGGTCAATATTAATAATTGCATGAACACTATTATTGAAGCATATTTTGTAGCTTAAAACTTTTATTTGTATTTAGATAAATTAAATAAAACACAACGGTGTTCAAAACCTATTATTCGTCATTCATGTGTATAGGAACATTTTTTCATTTTTTTTTCTGAGGAATCAATGTGTAATTATTTAACACATTGGCCGATTGATTAAAAAACATGTAAAAAATTACATTTTTTAAAATTTTCTGTTACTTGGATTAAGGCAGATTATGATACTAATTTAACACTTTCGCAATTTAATGATATTAAAATGTTTTAAAGGTTGCTTGACTTAGACTTGGATCAAGGCAAATTAATAGAATTGCGTTTATTTCATCAAGGAGATCGAAATCGACATAATATCAAGAGACAGCTTTTAATCGGCATTGACCGGCCTACACATCTGTGTTAATAAGAGGAAGAAGTCAGTGGCGCACAGTTTTTTAGAAAAATGTTCCAGTGATAACCTATACCGAGTTAGTCATTTTAGAAGCGTGGTCTGTATTTTAACGTGTAAGACAGAGAATAATACAAATGAGACAAAATCAAAAGCGGCATACAGTGTTGCCTGTTTTTACGTTTGTGGGAAAATTGTGTAGAAAAAAAAAACTATTTTAAAAACTTTCATGTATACTACTGAAATGAAGATAATATATCTGCTAAATATAATCTATTACATCTGTAGTAAAATGAGTAACTAATTGTGAAAAATGAGGTTCCAACTGTAGATGCAACATTTTCCTTAAACGCCTACTTGTGCGGTTTGAACTTTTGATGCAAGATCCGGCAATACCACAGAAGAAATGTATCAACCCAAGTTTTATCTCTTAATACATTTGATTGTTCATCAAGCGCAAGCACTGTTTTACACGTTAAAATCCAGACCACACTTCTAAAATGACCAAATCGGTATATATGCCCCTAGTGAATCTGTCGACACTTTTTTAGCATTAAAATATATAGCACTTATAGTAACTTTTGCCCTCAAAATGTCATTCAAATAGCTAAGGCACTTGGAAGGCTTTAACGCCCTGTATCTACGAAACAAAGCAGAATCGGACATATGTTGATAGAAAATTATTAATAATAATAAATAACGCTTTATTGTACAAAAAGCCAAAATAGCTTCGTCGACAAAGCATTTAAAAAAAACAAAAGCACAAAATTAATAAGTCTTATATATATCTTATTTTTACGTGGGGAATCTCCCAACGAGAGGCACATATTTTTTGAAACACCCTGTGTATAGCCGTATATATTTTATTATAACCGCGGCCGAAGTGAGATAGTGAAATACTTACAAAGAGTTTATTTTTTGAACAATGATTTATAAAGTTTTACTAATAAAGAACGATCTTTTTAGGGTTGGAGGAACCAGCGAAAGAATGCGGTCTCTGCGATATCCAGCCCCCTACGCCGGCTAAACGCAAAGTGCCGGAACAGGAAGCGGCCACGTCCACGACCGTTACGGAAACGTCGAGTGTTTCTGGATCGCCCGTGACTAGTCTCAACAAGATCCCGACACAGGAATGGGGCATCGAGGACGTGATCCAGTTCATCGAATCCACCGATTCGTATTTGGGTTCCTATGCCGATTTGTTTAGGAAACATGTAAGTTTTGTAATTCCCCCGGCGATTGTATGAAAAGGACTTGACAGAAGAGCTAAAAAAGTAATATTTCAGTTCGGCAGGGGCGTGCATATAATGTAGACAAAAAGGGCGTTGCCTACCCCACACAAAATCATGCAATATTTTTTTTATATCATTATATCCAACAAATATTCGCAATAAGAATTTTTATCGCATTTTTATTCTAGAAATTACGTAAAATATATTTATATCATTTTCGACTACAGCGTTATCGAGAGACAACCGCCCAAAGCCAGAATTCTGTAACTTAGAAGTCGCTAAGCGCTTTTAGACGCTCAGCGTATATGACATTAATTTTCGCTTAGCGCGCACTTAACTACCGATTTGGATATTCTCATCTGACCCGCTTAGCGTCTTTACTGATTGTGCTAAGCGATTTGAAAACAGCTACCTTAAAGGATCATTTTGCTTGTTGAACCTCGTTATTGAACTGTCAGTAAAAATAGAAAAAATGTGATTTTGTGCGTTCTCTTACTCTTTAGTGAAAACTACTTCTTCTTCTATAAATTCCTCAATAAGTAACTGATAATTTACGACTTGGCAGCTATTAATATTGTTCAAAACATCGAAAATGTTAAGAAGCCTCATTTCCCTCGTATAATAAGAATAATGACATATCCATAGAAAAATAGGTTGACATAACTCAACAGTAGGTTATGAAATTCACGTAACATTGACATTTTCATTGTTTTATCCACATTTGATAGTTAGATACCTGAGAAATTGCGATGCTGTCAATATGTGCTCAACGCGTATCCAGAACACGATTCGCACGGCAACGAGAATACCAAAATCGACTGCTTGGCCTTCCGCTCATCGAATACTTTTGCTTACTGCTTTGAAAGCGTAACGTTTTTATGTCAAAGTTCCAGAATTCGGATCCAGCACTATATTCTCGTTGCAGTGCGAATCGTTTTCTGGATACGCGTTGAGCATATATTGGCAGCATCGCAATTTGTCAGGTATCTAATAGTTTACTAATAGTCAAGTGTGGATAAAACGATGAAAAATGTCAATGTTACGTATGTACATTTCATAACCTATTGTTGAGTATGTCAACCTATTTTTCTATGGAATGTCTATGGTTATGTCATTATTCTTATTATACTAGGGAAATGGTGAAGACCCTTCTCAGCATTTTGGATGTTTTGAACAATATTTATAGCTGCCAAGACGTAAATTATCAATTACTTATTGAGGAATTGATAGAAAAAGAAATAGTTTTCACTAGAGAGCAAGAGAACGCACAAAATCACATTTTTTTCTTTTTTTACTGGCAGTTCGACAAGCAAAACGACCTTCTAAGGCAACCGCTTCAAGTCGCTTAGCGCAGTGGTTAAAGACGCTAAGCGCGTCAGATGAGAATACCCAAATCGGTAGTTAAGTGCGCGCTATGCGAAAATTAACGTCAATTATATTTCCCTGCTTTGATTTGCACTGCACGCCACTACAAATTGCAGGTCCTACTACTACTGCATATCGGGGTTCCAGTTTTTCTAATACCTTAAACTGAAAATTACTTACAATAGCTTTGCTATTTAAGGGAGTGATTCCACGTAATCTTCCACGTACTCTGCAGATCACAGTGCAGATCAATATTATATGAGAAAGAGATAGAATAAGGAAGTAACGCGTTATTTAATTTTGCCGGTGTCGACCGCTGTGCAGCACTCACTTTTTTGCCATTACTGCTATCATTAGTGATGCCATTTCTGAGAAATTTCTAGTGATGGGATCACGCGAGTGAAAAATACTCGGTCACCCGAATATTCATATCTTCGGTATGTCTCGAGTATTTTTGTCGATCTCGAGGATTACTCGGCACGCAACTAGCATCGGGTGTTGCGTACCGTCGCTCACGAGGATAGGGGCGATTTAAGATTTATGCTGAAACCTCTTATATAGAGGATAGAGGATAACCGTTTAATCACTTGCTCGCATGTCGCTCGCAATAATAATCGGTTTTCAGGGTAGTAACCTGGCATTTTTGAACAGAAATACATTACTTATTTTTGTTTTGTTTTGTTTAGATGAATATAAATATTAAATTTCTAAAAATTAAACTAAAGTAAATATTATTTTTCTACAATATATAAATTTGAAATATAAATTAAAATTCAACATATACTAATTAAAAAATTAAAAAATAAACATAATTCTTAACTTGTTCTTAACTAACATAACTAAAAAATTTATCCTACAAAATTGAATATCAGCATAATATACAGATTAAAATAATTAATTCTCAACTTACATTACTAATACAAAAATAAAAAAAAATATATAAAAAAATATATCTCTGAAAATAAATTTAACCAATGCTTAAGTAAATTTCTTTGAATTGTGCATTGAGGTATGATTTGATTATTGCCTTGTTTTTTCTTTCAATTTATCTAATTATTTATAGTTGATTATACGGCTCACCTTATGATTTTAGTCTAGTTGTTTTTAATTTTTCGAATTTAGCGTACCATATTGTTATCTGTGATTGAACAATATTTGTGATAGATATAATTTTTTGACTTTGTAAAAAAATTTTGACTTTTTAACTTGTTGTGATTGTATTTTATAAATTTGACCTCTGTAATTGTTTTAGCTTTGGGCCTGATGATGGGAATAGTTTAAGTTCCCGAAACATGTCGCCCCCCTTGCGTTTTTAAGCATTGAAATTTAAATTAAACAATTAGATCAAATAGATTTTCCCCAATTTAGTGTAAAAAATAATTAGATATATTGATTATTTAATTACTTTTGCTATCTTCGTCTACCCTATTTTGATTTACACTGGGGTTTCTTCACTTACTCGAGGTTTCATTTTTTCTAGGAATAACTGATACTGAAAATTACTTACAATAGTTTTCGTTGCATGGATCGATTTGTTGGAATCGTTTTGATAATTTTGTTGTTATTGATCTTTTGTTGTTTCGTTTCGTTTATATTCTATGTAAATACTTAACCGAAAATGTTTATTTTTTATAGGAGATTGACGGTAAGGCTTTCCTGTTGCTCAACTCGGATATGATGATGAAATACATGGGCCTAAAGCTAGGACCAGCCCTGAAAATATGCAATTTGGTGTCGAGACTGAAAGGTCGTCGATATGCATTGTAATATAAATAGGTTAAGTGAAAATTGTATTGATAACATATAAAAGCCAATTATTTCCGTACTTAAATGTTTCTTGTATCGCTATTTTTAAGTTTGCATGTACAGGGTGTTCGATTCATTCATTTCAGGTTGACATTTTATTGTCATGGAGTGATTTCAGTTTATTCATACAAGGGCAGATAAGTAATCGAAATATATTGGTAATTACAGAGAAAGAGAATAAAAATATTACTATATAAGTAAATTAGTTATGTGAAAAATCACAATTATTGACCAGATTATTATTACTCTTTGTTTTAAAGATGTAAAGCTATTTGATTTAAATAAAGACACATTTCAAAATATTGTGTATTTGTTTTACTGATCCTTTATTTATTATGTTTTGTACTAGTTTTTTTGCAAGGGTGCCATTTAAAAATCAAAAGCTGTAGTCATTTCCGGTGAAACAGGAAGTGACCAAAAACAAATCTCGTTTTTTTATCTAAAAAAATAATAAAGTTATAGGGGGGGGCGAGATTTTTGCGACGCGCTAGGTATAAATAAAATATTAATAATATAAAAAGTACAAACTTATTTATACCATAGAAAAAAAAAACGGTGTTAAAGATGGCGGAAAAATGACCATCCATAATATTTTGTCGAGGTCAAACCCTAGACACCCCCATCCTCTTCTTTATTTTTTAATCACACACTTACTGCTAGTTGGCCTTAAGAAGGTTTTGTAACTTATAAGAAATAGATTTATGTCTGGAAACGTTCTATCCTTTTATAATGTTTCTAAAATTAGTTTTAATTTTTAAGTTCTATGTCAATTTTTAGTAAATGACGTCTAGAGATTGACCTCGCCAAAATTATCATCGATTGTGTATTTCCCAGCCGTTCCTGGCGCCGTTTTTTTTTCGATCATAGGGTATTATAAATAATACTCATTTTGTTCCTTTGACAGATCATTGTTTCGCTGTGATGGAAAAAATTAGAAGAACTAAAGGTTTTCCGTGTGTCAGTGGAGAGACTTTACACAAAGAGACGATTGCGACAGATGACATCACAAATAAACACAAAATGACAGAAAGCAGCTGTTCTGTCGTATTGTTTCTAGTTTCAACGAACAGTAACTATACAGCCCCGTACACAGAACCACGTACCACGTTTTGTCATTCGCGGCACATCAAAGACCCAATCAAATCTACATAATTCAAACAGATGTCAATTTTAAATTTAGTACAATTCCCATGGGTTCTTTGACGTGTCAACCAGTGTAAACAGCGACACAACATAGTTCTCAGAACGGGGCTTACTACTAACTAGTACTCTATATAACGTATTACGATATTTCTTTGAATGTGATAGACTTACTGAATCAGTCTTTAGACCCACGTGGCGTTAATCAAAACAAATAAAGACAATGGAAGTCCGAAATTCTTTAATTTTCATACTTTCACCAACGTTTCATTTTTGCATTGTCTACTATATTCAAAGAAACAGAAATTTCGAAGCTTCGAGAAGAGCAAAATTGAGCTGACTAACGGAGAGAAAGCCCATATTTCCTTCTTATGTACAGCACGAGATAAAAACAACATTCCCAGTGGCTTCTACATCAAGTCACCGATTCAAGGAGAAAGAGCTAGACGTAATATTAGACAACGCACAACGCTATATAGTCGAGAATTGATGCGATTGATAACGGTCAGTGATCGTTCTGACCGAAACGTTGTGTTAATCAAAATAAATAAAGAGAAAGTCCGAATAGTATTAGGATATAATTTGAATACTGTAAATAAATAAAAATACAATTTATTTAGCTTTATATTTCATAACTGGCTTGGAAATGACGATCTATTACATTTCCCATATAACTTTACATATAAAATGACAGCGATTTTCATTTCATAGCCATCGCTGACGCCTTTTTTCCATCATATTGTATTATCAAAGTATATTAATTATAATTTTTATATGCCGGCCCTGTCTTACCAATTTTGCTATTAGGAGTTGCCAGATTGAATAAAAAATTATAAAAAAACATCCACTTTTTGAATTTTACTATTGCCCTATATACTAATATCAATAATACCGTATGATAAAAAAAAACGGCATCCAGTTAGCTGGAAAATGACTATCAATGACATTTTCTACATAATTTTACATATAAAATGACAGCGATCTTCATTTCATAGCCATCGCTGACGCCGTTTTTTTTTACCATGCGGTACTACATTAACTTACCTATTTATATAAATAAGAAACATACCTATTTATATATTATAAGAAGCAACATGATGAACAATGATGAACATTGATCTGAAAACAGATCGTTAAAATGTTCAAATTATTTATGATGACGATTTTCTTAAACATCAACCAAAATTCTAACTTGGCAACACAGACCGATTTCCAATTCTCAATGTTGTCACTTGTTGCCTTTTTTCATAAATGTTAATAAGTATCCTTTAGTATATTATTAAATAGACTATAACTTATGTTTCTTGTCTTACAGCAATGTTCTATTTAATAAAGCATCCGAATCTTTGAATTAAAGATATTTAGTTTTACTTCTAAAACATATTTTTATATTTTTACCATCTATCCTTGCCAAAGTTTTGAAGCTAAAAAAGTTGATGCGGCAACAATGCTTTTATCACTCACTTGTTTTGCGCCGACTGTCAATATATATGTGTTTCTAGTGAAATTTTGGGTTTTTAACTGGAAATAATTGTTTAATTGCATTTTTTAAAGATGTGATACGATACTAAATTGTTAAAATGAAGTGCCCGTTTAATTATCAAGTTAATAGGTGAGCAAAAATATTTAATGTCTTTAAAGTACCCGTTTAAAGTGATTAAAATCGTCATAACTGTCTATGCAAAACAATCGATTCTGATTTTTGGCCTGTGTTAATATTTGTTTATTATTTAACAAGGTGTATTTTGATTTATCGGCAGCGATACACCCACAGAATAACAAACATTGTACTTGTTTGTAAACATAAAATAATCTTTTAACATATGATTATTAACATCATGAGTTAATTATTGTAAGTAATTTTTTTTTTCTAAATTTATAAAACCACAAAAAGATCTTGAAACTGCTTAGCCTAAAAGCCTAGCGTACCAAACTTGTGGTGTATTGACTCTTACTTTTCAATTAAAAATAAATATATTGCATCACTGATAAAAAAAGTATCTTACAATGCAACCCATGCAGTTTTTAAAGCAGGTTACAGAATCTGATTTTTTTTGCAGCATATTTACTTATCCTCGTTTTTTAGGGTCACATAATATTGTCAGAAAAATGAATATTATGCGTAAATTAAGGGGTGGAGGGGTGTCATCAGCTGCATCAAGTTCAGAAAGTATGGGCGACCCGTCCTCTGCTCATACACAGTTGGGATTGATGCATCTAAAGAAACTATTTCTAGAATATATGCATCCCCCTCATCCTCTAACAGATAAAGAAAAAGATGATAAACTCTACAACATGCTGCCTCTTTTCTGTAAGGTATGTATTCTGTGTACCCATAACTCTTTATAACCACAAGTTAACTAAGTATCCTCAAGTTCAACTTAAAATGTATTTTTTATATACCATGTGATTGAACGCAATACATTTTAAAAGTAGGTGTGAAAATAATACTCTTTAAGCTTTATAGTATAGTCAGTTCAATGAAAAAATCCTTGACAGTGATAGATGTGTCTGTCATTTTAATTCTTGTATAATATGCAGTGTGACACATAAAATAATTAACTAGAAAGAAGTGTCAACTCTGTGTTAAATCGTGGAAACACGATACGCCACCGAAAGCCTTCGTTGTTGTCTGGAGAACTAATTTTCCAATTGACAGGTTGACATGATAAGGACATTAATTTTCATTTCCGTTTCCGGTTATTCAATGGCGGGCCCTCTTTCAGTTCAAATGTATTTTGTATTTTTTCTTTTCATAAATAAAACCAAAAAATAATTTATTCACATATATTTATTTGAAATATGGAATAACGTGACTAAATAAATATAAAAATATAGAGGATTGTATTGTTTCAATACCAATTAGTTAATTATATTTACTTTTAACGTAAATTAGTTAAGGTATAAGCAAGACTTACAGTAATTTGTAAATAAACACACGTATTCGCAGACTTCAAGAACAGAAAACGAACACAGGAACATGAAAACGGGAGCCTTATACAAAAACCTGAAAACAGAAAAACAAATTTTTTTATACTAAAATTAACAATGTAAAAATATCAATAGGTATAAAATATAAATATACTGTTTAAGAAAGCGTCCATTATTCCCAAAGAGACCTGGCTTATGAATCAAAAAGAAGCAAAAAGAGACTTTTAGTCGGATAATATAATCAGATTATCAGTCCGATTTATTGCATTATTGACAATAAATCGCACATACTGGAGATAACTAATGTTGGCAATAGTTAAAAATGATCTTACCTTGCTGCAAATTGTTTCCATTTTCAAAAAAATCGCCGATCAAAGAGATTATAACACCATTTTCTTGCATCTAAAAAATGTAAAAACAGTGTTTATTTACTACCTATTTTTCATATACATGGAACATACCTACTACTGCAGAAACGTCATTTTCTCCAGGATTCTTCATGTAATATATATTTTATATACTTTATTACCTTTATATTTATAAATTTCAACCGAAATATTAAATTGAACTTCCAAAACGAAACTAAACGGAATGAATTAAAATGGCGTCGAATATTTTCGAATTTGTTCTAGAACAAATCTGAAGTTGTCTCTGAAACTGAAATCTGTCAATTCTAAACTGTGAAGTTAGACAATAGTTATACAAAAACAATGCTGTCCTTGTCTAGGCGGCCATACTTGTCGTGAGGAGAATGACAAGAATGACACTAATGACTGTTTCCAATTTTCCTATTTCACTGTCACCCCCCTGGTGTGACACGGTGTGACATGTGTGATGTGTGCAAAAATTTTGCATCAAAATCTTTATGTTGAATCATCTGGTATTCATATTTAACTAACAAAAATATTTTGTCATATGTTATGTGAGCAACTGTCATGACAGCGCATATTACTTAATAGATCTTTAAAGATGTTTTGATGTACAAAGTCATAGCAAAATACCCTGCTTCTAGCTATATCTCTCGATAATTCTGCATCAAATTTTTGATATCTTAATAATACCATATTATTGAAAAAAAATAGTGTCTGAGACGGCTAGGGAATGGCAATCTATGATAATTTTGGCGAGGTCAAGCCCTAGACGCTATTTTCTTGGTCTATACTCTTCTTTGGTTTTTAAATAGGGCTTACGGCCAGCTGGCCTTAAGAAGGTTGTAATGTACAGGGTGGGTCAAATTTGACGGTTTTAAATGGAAACACCCTTTTCTATAGGAGATAGACAAAAACTAATATCGGTGTCTGGAGCTGAATTTTTGTCAAAAACATGATGGTGAAAACCGCATATCGATATCTGTTACCGTTTCGGAGTTACGGGGTGTTTTTCAAAAATATGCATTTTTAACAAATCGCTGTAACTTTTTTGCTATGGAAAATTTTGTATTTTTATGAAAACATTTCCAAAGCACCTTTTTATGTAGAATTTAATGCTTTAAGTATAATTTTTTTTAAATTAATAATTTAAGAATTATCGAAAATCTGATTTTTTATATGGGACACCCTGTATATTTTTAATTTATTGAAAATAATTTAAAATTACCTTTCCAAAAATATAACACACTTGATATTTTGCTCGATTCCTCTTCTAGATATAGAGTATATAAAAATTCGCCCCCTTTAAATAAGTAGGCTTTGAACGGCACCGGCTGTAAAGCAAAAAAATTCTAGCTGTGAGCATCAATTAAAACGAAAATAATATTTGCTATGGAGATGCAGAATTTTATAACCATTTAAAATATATTTAACCAACATCAACACATTTAAACTATATCTAATAACAATAAAAATAAATAGCAAACCAAGACATGAGATTTTGCTACAGGTGTTCGACATATCGACCGTCTTCTGTTATGGACAGACGGGGCAGTTTTTGAACATTTCTCGCGGAATTCATTAACTCAGTGGGGGTGAAAGATACCCTCCCATAACTGCTAAGTATTTTTAATTCTTGTCTAAATTATACGGAAGAATAAGGAACCTTTATTCTTCCGCAAATATATCCATAGGATTAGATCCATGGGCACTAAGTCAGGCGGCCTTGACGGCCAACAGCTGGGATCTTGGTTAGCTATTCAATTATTCTTTAAATTGGCTGCAAAAATTTGTTGGTAACTTCAGCGTTCAGAGGCGGTGCGTCGTCTTGCTGGAAAAATATGTTTTCGAGTTCCATTAAGGGCATATCATCAATAGGGGTCCAAAGCCTACTAGTTTAAAGTGGCGAACTTTTAAAAATTCTGTATTTCGAAGAGGATTATAACAAAATATCAAGTGTGCTATATTTTTGGAAAGGTAATTTTAAATTCTTTTCAGTTAATTAAAAATATAGGGGGTGTCCCAAATAAAAAATCAATTTTTCTCTTCATAATTCTTAAATGATCAATTTAAAAAAAAAATATACTAAAAAGGTGCTTTGGAAATGTTTTCATAGAAATACAAAATTTTTCATAGCAAAAAAGTTACAGTGATTTGTTAAAAATGCACATTTTGAAAAACACCCCGTAACTCCGAAACGGTAACAGATATTGATGTGTGGTTTTCACCATCATGTTTTTGATGAAAATTGAGCTCCAGACACCGATATTAGTTTTCGTCTATCTCCTATAGAAAAGGGCGTTTCCATTTAAAAGCGTCGAATTTGACCCACCCTGTACAGGGTAGTCGAAAATTGGTCTGTTTTAACAGAGAAAACCTATTTCCTGACTAGATAGAGCAAAACCGACTTAGATATCATGGGCTCGATTTCTGAGAAACGTTTATTGGCCTAAACCGCCTGTTCATATTTTCACTGCCAACCGAGATATGGAGTCTTTTTGAATTTTTACCATTTGGAAAACTGCCCATAAGTTTTGTATTTCCCGGAACAATAAAATTCTGTAAAAACGTTCTTAAGGCACTTTTTAAGCACAATCCAGTGGCGTAGTCAGTTTTTTTCTATACTTGCTTTTTTAGTCAGAAATAATAAAAAATATAATTTTTTAAATGGAAATCATAGTTGGCGATGAACTTAAAAAATGCTGGCGTTTAACCCCTTCCAACGATATTAAGTTATGTGTATTTATTTCTAAAAACGAGAGAAATATTACGTTTTTTACCTTTGTATCGAAGGGGGCCTTGATTTTGTGTTGACCTATAGTTGCCTAATTATTTTTATCACAATTTAATATTCTATAGGATTATTTATCTTCATAATTAAAGACTTTTGAAAAGGTAAATCAACATTCTATATTAGTATTACCATTTACAATTAAAAAGCCAGGGTTACTGCACTATTAAATGGATAATTTAGAGAGAATTGGATTGGAACAAGGGATCCCATATCTTGGCCTGCTGGTCCTGTAAGGGAAGAAACATTAGGACAAGAGAAGAATTACAGAAGACTACTAGGCAAGCTTTTGGACTTATTACACCAGTTCGCTTAATAAATTGTTGTAACTCTGTGCGCAAAATATGTTTATTGTGTATTCAATAAGGGGGTGCTCAGTTTGAACATCTTTGATTATTTTTTTAGAAAACTATATTCGTCACTCAAAAATACTTTTTTTTAGTTTTATTCTTTGTTTATTGTATCGATTTCAATTGTAATTACTATAATACCGTATGATTGAAAAAAAACGGCGTCCAGTTGGCTTGGAAATGACGATCGATGACATTTCCTATATAATTTTACATATAAAATGACAGCGATCTTCATTTCATAGCCATCGCTGACGCCGTTTTTATTCGATCATACGGTACTAATATAGAATGTTAATTTACCTTTTTAAAAGTTTTTAATTATGCAGATAAATAATAATATAGAATATTAAATTGTGATAAAAAATAGATAGGCAAATAGGTCAACACAAAATCAAGGCCCACTTCGATATAAAGATCAAAAACCTAATATTTCTCTCATTCTTAGAAATAGATGTCCATAACTTTAGATCATTGGAAAGGGTAAAACGCCAGCATTTTTTTAAGTTCATAGCCAACTATGATTTCCATTTAAAAAATTATATTTTTTGTTATTTCTGACAAAAAGAGCAAGCATAGAAAAAACTGACTACGCCACTGGATTGTGTCGAAAAAGTGCCTTAATAACGTTTTTACAGAATTTTATTATTCTGCAAAATAAAAAAATTAAGAATTTTATTATTCTGCAAAATAATAAATTATTATTATTAATTAAAATTAATAATAATAATTTAATTAAATTACTATTATTAATTTTAATTAAAAAATTCAAAAAGACCCCGTATCTCAGTTGGCAGTGAAAATATCAACAGGCGGTTTACGCCATTAAACGTTTCTCAGAAATCGAGCCCATTACATCTATGTCGGTTTTGCTCTATCTAGTCAGGAAATAGGTTTTCTCTGTTAAAACAGACCAATTTCGACCACCCTGTACTTTTATATCGAGTAATGATTTTTAAGTGGTGTAGTTTCAAGTTCGAGTAAAATAATTTTTTGGAAATAGATTTGTAAAACAAAAAATTTTTTGGAAACGTTCTATCCTTTTTTAATCTTTCTGTAATTAGTGTTAATTTTTGTCAAGTGTTCAACAAGTCTCATTTTCTTAGAAAATGACGTCTGGAGTAGGGAATGCAATCCCGCACCAAAATCTCAATCCCGCAAACCCACGGGATTAAAGCAATCAATCCCGCGGATCCGTAAAATTGCGGGACTGTAAACAATAGTCATACATTTGGTCCTAAATGGTACAAAAGGCATTGTACATTTTGCATAGGTCCATAATATATTGATATAGCGTGTATCTTAAACTAGCTGTACAGAAATTTGGACCGATGTATACAGAGTGTTCAAAAAATATATTTAATATTAAATAAACTTAAATTTTATTATAATTTATCTACTTATTTTATAAATAAAAATATTATTCTGATGTTGGAGTTTTTTTTTAACTTGTGTTAGTTATCTGCTTTTAAATACACTCTATATGAATAATTTTTTGGCATATGCAGAATGTACAAAGCTTTTTGTACCATTTAGGACCATACATATGACTAAAAATGCATCTTTTTCGAAAAAACGTATTTTCCTTAAAACAAAAAAAATTAAAAGACCGATCAAGTCGTTTTTTCTAATTTCAATACAGATTAGTCGTACCTGGTAAAAATTTCGATTTTTTAAAAATTGTCAATTTGCGGTAAAAAAGATTCTTGACCAAATTTTCACACTCTTATAAAACACCCTGTATACGAGAATTCACTAAATATATTTTCAAAAATCTTTTTCACTTCAAGAGATATTCAACTTTACATTTACTTAGGAAGGTATGAGGTGGTAGAAAGGCACAACTAATGTGTCAAAATATCAAGAAATTTTGAAAAACAATTTTGTGCCAGAGAGACCTTTATCAGGATATGAATTTTATATTTCAACAGGATGGCGGGGCATGCCATATGGTTAAAACTACTAAAAAATGGTTTAGGGACATCAACAAGGTCCCCTCTTGGCCTTCGCACAGTCCGGACCTTAATGTTATCGAGACATGTGGCATTAAACAAAACAAAAATTGTGCCACGATCCCCAAGAAACCGTTACCCATTTGACGATGATATTAAGTGAATCATGGCCAAATTTTTACTCTGGCGTATGTCAATCATTAATAAAAACAATGCTAAACAGACGTGCAGTGGTTGCAAAAGTTCATGCTGATGTAACGCCATATTAAAACAGTTATTTTTTAAAGTGTCCGAACATTTAGTTGTCACGATATTGTGCAATATTTTTGTTTATTTATTGGCCTACAGTTTATTTTAATGTTTATAGAAACTAAACTATTTAAATACTCATTAGAAATGTTAGATTTTAATATATTTTTAATGTATTTCTTAAATGTAAATAGTTCAGTTAATGAAAATAAAGGTTTTTGACAAATTTTTGTTTGTCCGAACATTTAGTTGTTAGGGCTCGTATATATTTTTTTAAATAAGTCGAAGCATATTTAAATGCTCTTTCAAACTATATTAGGGTTTCCTATATCTATCTGGCTTAGATTTTAAATAAAAAGCGATTTTTTAATAAAATTGTAATCAGATGGCTGGCGTCGCTATGGCAATTTTCTAGTGACAATTTCTAGTTTCAAGATGGATATTAGTTTATGGACTTTATTTAAATTTATAACAGGTTAGTTTTATTTAATTTACCTAAAATAAGGTTAATAAGTAGTATTTATTATTTTATCAGATTTTTTCCATTTTTAAAAATGAAGCAGTGTCTGCTGGTGGAAGGAATTAGAAATTATATAAATATCGAGTATATTTTTTTGTAGTTTTATTGGAAAATATTTGAAATTTTTGATTGGTGTTATTTTTGATCGCTGATATCTTTGAGACGGTTGATCTGAGAAATTTTGATCTTCATACATGTTTTGTAGAGCGTGAAATCTATACTAATATATAAAATCCTTAAGTGGCCCACTCACTGATTAATCACGATCCTGCTCAAACCACTCAACGTAAGAAGCTCAATTTTGGCATACAGGTTGATTCTAGGGTGTAGAGGTTCGATAAGAAGGGATTTTTCGAAATTCCAGTTCCAAGGGGGTGAAACCACCCCACAAATATTACAATTACAAAATGTTTCCGAAAGACGCTTAAACACGTATATTTTATTTTGTTTTTTTACATATTTTAAGATTTTTAAAAAATGTATACAGGGTGTTTCGAAAAATCTGGTCATTGATTAATCACGATCCTGCTTAAAGCGCTTGACGTTACTAGTGATTTTCTTTTGTGAGGACAATTGATTGTTGGCCTGAAGGGTTTATGCTCAGAGATATTCAGATAGGAATTTTCTTGACAAGCGTTCCTTTGAAAAACTACTTTCCCTATTTCGCAGAGCTGATAGTGTGGTATATAAAAAACTTAGTCAGAAATCTGTCGTTGGAACTGAAGAAAATGAATTTGTCTTAATTAATAAATAATACTTACTTATTAAACTATTGTAAGTAAATTAAATTAAAGTGAACTATTATAAATTTAAATAAGTCCATAAACTAATGTCGATTTTGAAGAGCTACTAAGTGTCACTAGCAAATTGACATGGCGACACCAGCCATCTTGATTGTCATTTTATTGAAAAATCGCTTATTATTCAAAATTTGAGCCAGATAGGTATAGGAAACTCTAATTGCTGTCCTCCATTCACGCAGTTGTGCAGCTCTGAACTGTTCAAGAACGCGATACCCTCACTCAATTGAGTCATAAAGTTCCAGAACTGTTCCGCGCCATATGAAGGCACCAGCCTATTGCGCACAGCTCCTTTCAGAACCGTTCTCGAGTAGCCCAGGGCGTAAAGCACTGGAACTTGAAGTTCGCGAATGGAGGACAGCAAATATAGTTTGAAAGAGCATTTAAATCGGTTTAGACTTATTTAAAAAAATACATAGTGTTGCATTTGAAATAACGAAGTTTTTAAGTAAAATAAATATTTAAAATTGACCAGTAATTTTTGATACCCCTGTATACATTTAAGGAAGCAATAATTTTTTTAGTAAAGTTTATTTCTCTGGCTTCAAAGTCAGCACAAGAATTAACGCTGAAAAAACAGGGTGTTGACAAACCTTTTTATTATAGCATGCAAATATCTTTAAATATCTCAAAACCCAAAGCTTTTAAACATATTAAACCCTTATAATAAATGCCTTATTTTATGCGCAAGAATCCAAAAATGAAATAAAATACCGGGTATTCCATAAGAAAAAATATAACTTTGGTATGGATCTTAGTTCTGACACACCCTGTACATTTGAAAATAATTTTAAATTATGCACATTGCCTCTCTACATATACCCATAAAAATTTTTGTTTCTAATGAGGTGCGCCACCATTTTTGAGAAAATTAATATGATTTTTATTTTAGGTCTTTGGAGCGAGCCCAACATGCGACATGAACGAAAAATTCTGGGACATTTTAGCCTTTTGCCATCAAGTTTCATTGCTGATGGTATCCGAAGTGAGAAAGAGAGCCTCGAATCAGAGCACGGAATCGGCTAGTGCAGCTATTGCGAAATTTTTGGAAATCGAGAACTGTGAAGAATCTAGTAATGGCTGGATGTTGTTGTCAACTTTAAATTTGCTGGCTGCTGGAAATGCGACACTAGTGCAAGTCATGGCGGAAGTATCAGTACCATCAACTTTAGTTAAATGTTTATATCTCTTTTTTGATCTGCCTGAAATTCCGGAAAAAGAATCTAATAAAAAAGATAATACTAGCGATTTTACACCGTTAGAGCGTCGAGTTTTACTGCAGAAAATATTTGTTCAGGTAATTCTTAATAACTAACTAGGTTTCAGAACCGGGAAATCCGGTTCTGAACAATAGCTTGTTATTATTAAGCCGTTTCCTGGGTCTTTTGAGACATTAAAGAACCAGGACTGGGTTGGGGCTCGGTGACAACAATCAAAAAATCATTCTTTGTTACATGCGAAACTTTATTGATACTTTCTAGCGGTCGAAATCAAACACTTATAAATAAGTAGTGATCTCAAGTAGCATTTTTGGGCACATTTTAGGTAATGTTTCTAATAATCGTGTCTGTTTCTTGACACAAAATGGAAATGGTATGCCACAAATAGGAAACATTTTCCAAACCTATATATTTTATATGAGTTTATTACATATTTTTTTACACAGAATTTTGCGGAATGGTCTTCCAGAGTAATTAACTAATAAACTTAAGTTTCGACACTCTAACTATGCTATAAGGCAGTGTAATAATATGGAAATTCCCAAACATCGCACGGCGCTATATCAGCGTTCGTTCTCCTACCTGGCATCCAAGATGTACAATTCCAACTTGAATCTATACTCCCTTGATTTAAAGACGTTCACTTTCTAAACAAAATTAAAAACTTATATGTTGAGCGGATATACAGGGTGGTCCGAACTGTATTCCGGAAACTTCGGCAACATGTTCTGCAGATAAAAATAAGTAAAAAAGTTCATATAAATGTATGTCCTAAAATGCTTAGTTTCGGAGATACAGGGTGTAGAAGTTTCATTTTTATTTCGATTTTTTTCAAATAATTTCTGAAGTAACGTCAATATTTGGATGAAAATTGGTGTCTGGGAGGTTTTTGACATGAGAAATTTGATTTTGATGTCAATATGACTCCTACTTGTAGAGGGCGCCACCTACGTATTTTTTAACTGGTTTGAAGAGTAATAACTTTTCGTCCGTACCTGCATAAAACTAGCCAGTTAAAAAATATACATTTACGACGTTTTTTACGTAAAAAAGGTCTCTTGGTAAAAATCGCTACGAGTAATGGTTCTCGAGATATTTGGAATCGAAATTACCAAAACCTGTCATCGTTGACATAAATTAAACATGTTGACTAATTAGTTATTAGACTAAAATCATAAATTTGATATGTTTTTGTGTCAAAAGTTGAACAGAAACTGTTTTATCATCATTTTTTCGAAGAAAAATTTATGATTAGTTTAAAAAAATAAAAAGTCCCCAAATTTCTCATTTCGGTCAAATAACTATCTACTCAACATGTTTATTTTTAGTCAATAATGACATGTATTGACTATTTCCATTGTAAATATCTTGAGAACTCGTAGCGATTTTTACCAAGAGACATTTTTCACGTAGAAAATCACGAAAATGTATATTTTTTCACTCAGTAATTTTATACAGGTACGGACAAAAAGTTATTACTCTTCAAAACGGTTAAAACAAGTATAGGTGGCGCCACCTACAAATAGGAGTGATATTGACATCAAAATCAAATTTCTCATGTGAAAAAACTCCCAGACACCAATTTTCATCCAAATATTGACGTTACTTCACAAATTATTTGTAAAAAATCGAAATAAAAATGAAACTTCTACACCTTGTATCTCCGAAACTAAGCATTTTAGGACATACATTTATATGAACTTTTTTACTTATTTGTATCAGTAAAATATGCTGCCGAAGTTTCCGGAATACAATTCGGACGACCCTGTAGAATTACACAATAATTTGATTTATTAATTTTTGTATCCTTTACGGAACAATTTTGATTTTTTACTGTTTTTGCTTTATCTTATTAAGTTGTTGATTTTTCTTTATCTAAAGTATATTGTTAATTTTCATTTTTCTTACTAATTTTTTTTCTTTGAATGTTATTTTTTAAGAATATATTATATTATTTACTTTTTTTTATATGCTCGGTTAACTTAACAGCTCTGCTGAATTTCGCCGAGTAAAAAATAAAGACGTTATTTATTTATTTATATTACATATGTTTCCAATGTGGGGGCACTAGCCATTTCTGGTAATGTTTCGGCGCGGAATCGAAATTTTTAGGGGAAACGTTTCGAAACATTTTCTGCAATTTGTGTCCAAGATGTTCCCGTTTTCAGCAGCCACTGTTTCTAAATGTGAAGAAACAAAATACCAAACTAAAATAGTCATGTCTGTGTGTGTATTTCAAAATGAAAACAACCATAAACAATGTCCATATCTCCGCCATAATTTTTTTGTCTTAAGATGTTTGTTTTTCGGTTTTCTCGCACAAAAAATGTCTGGCAAAAGCAAATTCATCGTTTAACTTAGTAATATACTTTCATATTTTTAATGCCCCTTCTATATATCATTATTTATTGCTACAAAATATTTTTGTTTGAAATATTTTTTTTTTTTAGAATTTAGAATGAGTGGGAGGGGGGTTAATCACTTCGACCTTACAGATCCATTGTGTCCCCCTTTCTTGAATCATAACTCATCACACAGTCCCAGGGCTTTGACAAAAGCCAGTATCTGGGACGGTTTTATAGAGGGTAGTTCTCCATCTCCAATATCAGTCGTACCAAAATTCATGGCACGAATGGTTGTCGTCTCGGCGCACTCAGTGATGAGGTGTACTGGTGTTTCACCATCTTCCCCACAGAATCTGCATTCGCCGTTTCTTCTTAGTTTCAATCTACTGAGGTGTTCATTGAGGAGACAGTGTCCTGTTAAAACCCCGTGACAATCCGAAGATTGTTCTTACTCAGACCTAGGAAGATCTGTGATTTTTATTGATCATAAGCCCTCAGAAACTTCTTCGAGTGTCCTAGACCATTGCAAGATTTCCATTCCAGGTTGCGGATGGAATCTTCCAAGTTCTTGAGTTCCTCCTTGAGTTGGTTACCACTTGGAAAGCAGAACGGTTCTGGTCCAGTTAGTGGAGTGTTCGCTCCTTTTCTACCTAGATTATTTGCTTTTTCATTGCCTTTTATCCCTTGGTGAGCAGGCACCCAGTGTAGGAGGACTTTGTTTTCTTTGCCTAATTTATTCAGCTTCTCTATGTATTCTTTGACCAATTTCGAATTGATTGAGACTGAGTTGATCGCCTTTAACGCTGCTTGACTATCAGATAAGATGGCTATTTCTTGTTTCCGATAGTTCCTATCTAAGATAAGTTGTACGCATCTCTCGATAGCGTAGATTTCTGCCTGTAGGATACTAGGGTAAGTGCCCATTGGTTCGGAGTAATTAGCTCTCGGCCCAAACACTCCGATCCCTGTTCCCGTATTGGTTTTGGAAGCATCAGTATACCAAGTTATGGTATGGTCTTTTAACTGCTGGGCAAGCGTTTCGCTCTTCCAATCCTTCTTATTGCTCAATACTACATTGACATGTTTGTCAAAGTTGTACGTTCTTGGCATATCGTCCACTGGGAGTTGCAGGAGTGGTATTTCCTTTTTGAGGGAAAGTTGGAGGGATTTTGTTTGAAATATAGATTTTTATTTCTATTTCATGGTTCTAAAAATAAAATTATACAAGGTGTCCCAGAAATAAGTGCAAATATTTTAACTGGTAGTATAGTTCAACCCCAGAAACAAGCCTATGAAGTTTTTTTCTTAAAAAAAAATTCTGAAAATTCGGAATTTTTCGAAAAAAATTTTGGATTTTTTTTAGTTTTTAGTTAAAACATAATTTTTTGATAATATGGCAACATAGGTAGTAGATTAAATTTACAAGAAAGAAAATCCAGAAAAGATCCAGTGGTTCTCAAAAATTTAAGCAAAAAGTATTTTTTTTTTGGAAATTTTCAAAGTAAAATAATTCCCTTATTTTGGACTTATTTGAAAAACGATAAAGAAACCCCTAAAATACTTGCACTTATTTCTGCGACACCCTGTATAAACTAATGTAAGTAGAACGCGTTCTTGTGAGTTTAAAAGCTCAACAACTGATAAAAACACAAATTTTAGTTAAACACGCTATCACTAGCCAACATTACGGAATTTTAATTCATTATTTTATAAAATTGACACGGAGTTGGACACAAATCATCTGCATTTTATCTAAAAAGCTAGAATGTGAGAAAAGTCTAAAAAGAGAAAAACTCGTGTTTCGAAAATGAATCAACAATAAATGGAAACCTTAAATATATGTCCAAAGAGAAAAAAAAAATGTTTGCTGGTAATATATTTCTTTGGTTTTCTGTTGGGTATAGGTAGTGGTTGTTGGCTGTAATGCGTATAATAAGTAATTATAAAATCTCATAATGAAAATATCTTAATTTGCACTTACTATATGTTCTTCTTTTGCTTTTTTAATTATACTATGAAAATCCAAACAATAAAGTAGGGTTATGTTCTTATATTCGACAGAATATCAAATAAATTCTGGAAACTTTTCAGTTTCACAAAAAGGGTATGAAACCTTTGTGTTTAAAAAAATAACTATTTTATTTTTTGATTTTCTTGCAGTGGCGAAATACCCATATAGGATTTTTTGGAGAGATAAATCCGCCACATGCCACATAGGTATAGACATTTTTTAAGATCTTTATTGTTACAACTTATGTAGCGTAACCATATTTTGGTAAAATGTTTTGAAACAGAAAGCGATTTATGTTACGAAACATATGTAATCAAAAATGTGTCAAATTAATTTCAGAATTTTTTTGTGTCTTGACACAAACACCATCATTTTTTCGAAACTGTCGCAATGTTTCTCAGCAGAGATTTTGTTTCTAAAAATGCTACTTGTGCGAAATCTACTCAAAAGCCAAAACATATGGGTGACAGATAATTTTCTAACTGAATTAAAATCGAAATGAAATGATCTTGATAAACTTCAACGTATATCATTTTTTTCAGTTGTTAGTGAGATTGTGTAGCCATAGGATTCCAGCGGAAGAACTGGCAAAAAAAGATGACTTAACATTATTATTCTTAGCCATTACTTCATGGTGTCCTTCATACAATGTGATGTGGAGAAAAAGCGCTGCCGAAGTATTAATGACGTTATCTCGACATGGGCTTACTCCTCCCGTAGTAGGCTATATCCACAGTAAGTTGCACGAGAATTATTTATCAGTGGCGGCTCGTGAGTTATGAAAGAGGGCGGGCACAAAAAAATTTCACATACTATTTTTTGATTATTAAAGATCCTTAATAACAATTTTACAAAGCTTCTGAGACAATGTTGCTTTGAATGTGGTAGACAATGACATGTTAAAACTAAAAGTGTTTCGGACTTCCATTGTCTTTATTTATTTTACTTAACGTCCTCTACATGTGCAACTTCATGAACATAAAAAACATATGAAAAGAGACGAAACAATGAAGTCGGGCATTGCACATCATGTGTGGTCCAAGCACCACAACATAAAATGGTCGGAGGCCCGGGTTGTTCACAAAGAACTCCATTGGAAAAAGCGCAAATTTAAAGACGCTGTACAATAATAAATCGCTGTATAAAGTCGCAGTAATAAAATACGCTGTAACAATAATAAAATCTTTAGCAATCCAAGTATGGAAATTTCAACAATATGGCAACCACTCATAAAACGCTCCAATGCAGGAGGTGTCCTTAATGGAAAACTCATGCTTGACTGCACCCAACAAATTCACGGGTGTATACTCGGCTCTAGTATATAAGCTCAGGATGCTAGGAAGGATGCCAGGCAGCTAGGATTTACTTTAGTTCATACTTGATAACGGTCAGTGATACTTCTGACTGAAACGTTGTGTAAGCAAAATAAATAAAGGCAATGAAAGTCCGAAACTCTTTTAGTTTTAATTCTGAGATAATGATAGAGTTTTCATTGGTCTGTTTAATTCAGTCTCTACATGTCGCCGGCTACAATAGATAACCGAAGATCACCGTATCATACTCAGAATAGGTACATTTCATAATGGTAATGGTGTAATGTAAATACTAAATTAATCCAAATACCATTCATATTTCTTTATATTTATCGAGCTGTTGGGTGGACGTTTACGTATCCAGTACCAGCCGCCGCAGATACCGTATGGCTGAGAAATGAAGGTGCATCTACATTGCTTGCAAGCAGCCCGAACGAACACGTGAAACGTGAAAAACATAGCAAGCAGTCGAAGTGAGATGTTCGTGGCGCTCGCAGTTCTCCAGATTCTTTCGATCACATGAAATACGTTTTTCGACTGTTCGGCTCTGTAACAGTACATCAAAGGGATCTTCAGAAACATGATAAATAGGAGTGCAAAGAATGCAAGCTACTACTATCGTATGATCGAAAATAAACGGCGTCAGCGATGGCTATGAAATGAAGATCGATATCATTTTATATGTAAATTTAAACGGGAAATGTCGATCGGCATTTTCCAGCCAACTGGACGCCGCTTTTTTTGATCATACGGTACTACTACCATTACTCGCCGACGAGTATTTGACATGCATCAGAAGATGGTTACTCAAGGCGTTTTCTTTCATGAACTTTTCTGTGACTGAAAAGGCCGATACTTTATATATGTAATCTCTGTACCGCACTCCGGACATTCAAAAATCTCGTTACTTTGTTGCCTCTTTACTTTTTGATTGTCGTTGTTAACTGAGTTTACAATTCTTCTCCATTGCGTTCTATTGTGCGCTGCTTCTTCCCACTGATTCTGCATGTTTATCCTCTGTAAGTTTTCGTGGAAAATATCCTTGTACTTTTTGAGTTGTCCACCCGGTTTCCTCTTACCGTCTACATGGTCACCGTAAAGAAGAGATTTGAGTAGGCGGTTTCCTTGCATCCTGTATACGTGACCAGTCCATCTTAAGCGGGATTTAGTATTCATAACTTCAGCACTTTCGCAGCTGGCTTTTTCAAGGACTGATACGTTTGAGACATGGTGGTACTATTTGATTCTTAACAGTTCTCTAAGGTGTTTCTGTTGCAGCTTGTTTAATGCATTCGTGTTCCGGCGATACAGCACCCAGGTTTCGCTTCCATATAACATGGTCATGTTTATTATTGCTCGGTACACTTCAAGTTTCGTTTTTGTGCTCAAGTCATGATTGTAGAAAACGCTAATTGTAAAAAATTTAGTAATCATGACTTCAACGCTCTCGCACCTAGCTGTTTTAAGGACCGATACGTTTAACGTTACGTATAATAATAATTAATATGTTATAAGCAACGCAAGCACAATCAGAAGCAAGAGCGCGAACATTATCACAAGGACGCACCTTGACAATCGATGGTAATTTTGGCGAGGTGAATCTCTAGACGTCATTTTGACATAAAAATTGTTAAAAATTAACACTAATTGTAGAAAGATTTAAAAAGAATAGAACGTTTCTAGACACATAAATCTATTTCCAAAAACATTTATTTTCGAATTTTAAACGATCATTTAAAAATCGTTTTTACTAGTATAAAAATAAGTTACAACCTTTGAATAAAAAGATTAAGGAAGGAGTATAATGCTATCCATGTATTCACGCATGGTATACGGACAAACAGCCCTATGGCAGGGATCCTTGACAGTTCTGTTTGACGATTCATTTGACACATTTGAATTTGATTTGATATTTTGTGGATTTGTCAGTCTTTACTGAGCTTATTTTATATTATTTATTCTAATACTGATAGTTGTTTAAAGGTAGTAAATCTAGAACGATTTTTTTGTGCCAGAACTTAAATTAACAGTGACACTTACGATTTATCGAAAAAGACTGTAAAATAGTGGTTGCGTAGCGTGCGGTAGGTCTCGGTCAAAAATCGAGGGAAATAATGTAATAACTTTTCGTTAGTAAGTGACTATATCACATTCATACGTGTAGTAAACCGAATATTTATGAAATTAACTAATTATATATTTTTTCTTGCATTTTTGCTTTTATTTACTACTTGAAAGTTCGTCAAACAATTTAGATACGTCAATTTACCTGCAACTTACCTGCTTCAGTAGCGTATCAGACGTTTGTGTTAATAAATAATTATTATAATTTATCTATTTTTATTAGAAAAAAAAATATATTTTTATAATAATTTACTGTAACTACCAACATTTATTCACAACGTAAAATAAAACAACAAATTATTGAGTCTACCCCACGATTACCCTACATCATATTTTTACACGTTTTGAATAAAATTAGAACGGCACTGATAAACCGGAATTTAAGTCGGCCATTTTAGGAGTTCGTCGTGTCCGATCTAAGATTTTTGATATGCTCCTTAATCTTTTTATTCAAAGGTTACAACCTTCTTAAAGCCAACTGGCAGTAAGCGCCGGCGCCGTTAAGTTATAAAAAAACAGTACGGGCCAAGTAATGACATCTAGGGCTTGACCTGGCGAAAATTATCATCGATTGTCCTTTCCCAGCCCTCCTTGACGCCGTTTTTTTCTCGATCGTATGGTATTTCATAGAATAACCTTAAAACGTATTTTTAGGTAAGGCCTGTGTAGCAGTTTGTATAGAAAACATGAAAAAAGTACCTGAATTAGCGCCATTAGAACTAGTAGAAATGTTTGTAACTGTATTCTGTTTCCTTAAAGACTCTAGTGAAGTCTCAGCAACATTACTAGATGACTTCAGACAAGCCCAAGGATACGCCTTTTTGTCAGAGTTTCTTTTAAAGTAAGCTAATTCATTTTTATTAAATTTTATTTTTGGATTATCAACCTTTTTATTTATAGGCTTGAAAGTGAAAAATCTAACGAGGCCCAAGAATCCATAAGAAACTTAGCATTAATGATAACGTCCTTATGTATGTGCGGGTATCTAGAACTCAAACCGTCTCAAGCGTCAACTGGTTCGCTATTTCAAATGCCTGGCTTTATTTTACCACAGCCTTCTGGAAGAGGGACCAGCGTGAGGAATATCCAGGCATTCCATGTTCTTCAAAACACGTTTCTAAAATCGAATTCTTCGCTAGTTTGCGGTACTATACTCGACGCGATTTCGAGCATATATCATTCGGACAATGCAAACTATTTCATCCTGGAAAATCAGAACACTCTCAGTCAATTTACCGAAAAAATCCATCACAAACCTGCAGATATCCAGAAGAAGTTATTTGAATTAATAGAATTTCTGGTGTTTACCTTGAACTTCGTTCCCTGCAAGGAACTTATATCCATGTCGATATTCCTCAAATCTCACAGCATAAATCACGTGGAATGTAGCACATCCTGTATGAAAACTTTGCTAAGCATACTGAAACATAACGCGCTTTTCAAAGATGTGTATCGCGAAGTAGGTTTGTTGGAAGTGTTTGTAACTCTTCTAAATCGATACGCGAGTTTTTTGGAGACGAAAAAATCGGCGACGAGCAAAGGCAAGAGTTATAGTATTCCGTCTGGACAGGATAAGCTCGGGGGTATGGTTATAGAGGCTATTACGCTTCTTTTAAGTAGCAACAATGCAAATGCTAATGTTCTGAGGGAGTGTGGAGGTGCTAAATGTGTACATGGTCTGGTTCAGTTTCTGGAATGCAGGTAAGCTTCTTGAGTAGTTCAAATTACCCGAAAGTAATTTTCGGATGGAACTGGTTTGAACAGTATACAGGGTCCTGCAATAGTGCGTCGGGCATCTGTAGCTCCTAGAATAAAAAAAACTTGAGAATTTTGTTTAAGTGCAAACCTAAAGTATGTACCAGGATATATTTCAGGAAAATATTTCAACTTCTACAGGGTGGCTCAAAAAAGTGTGAGTGGATCTGGATGATTTTTTTTTAAACGGAACACCCCGTATATTATTGCATTTTTGGTTTCCTTTCAAATCACTTTACATAACCCTAAGATATGAATAAATATATTGCGATAGTTTCAGAGATATTAAAAAATAAATCAAAAATATATATTTTTCAGCCCTTCTTAAAAAAATTTATTAAAAATATAGGAACTGTTTTGAAATCAAAACTATATTAGGTATTTACTTTAGATGGTCTGTACTTACTTTTCTATAAATATGAAAATCGTAAATCATACAGGGTGTTTAAAATTCTACGCCAAACTTTCTAAAATATAAAATAATTTTTCTTTGTTTTTTTAAATGGAACACCCTGTATATTATTTTTTCAATAGACGGAGAATTAAAAAATGAACATTTTTTGTATTTAGAGTATTTCAAAGTTTTTAACGGTTTCGCAGATACGCCCAGTATTATTTCATATGGCGCTTGCAATGGTACAATACGAGAGAAAAATCATAGGGTGGCTTTGATAAAAATTTGCTGTGGAAAATGCCATATGAAATATAAAATCGCAAATATCTGCGAAACCGTCAAAAATTTTGAAATACTCTAAATACAAAAAATGTTCATTTTTTAACTCTCCATCTAATAAAAAAATAATATACAGGGTGTTCCATTTAAAAAAACAAAGAAAAAATATTTTATATTTTAGAAAGTTTGACGTAGAATATTGAACACCCTGTATGATTTACGATTACCATATTTATAGCAAAGTAAGAACAGACCATCTAAAGTAAATACCTAATATAGTTTTGCTTTCAGAACAGTTCCTATATTTTTAATATTTTTATTTAAGAAGGGCTGAAAAATATATATTTTTGATTTATTTTTTAATATCTCTGAAACTATCGAAATATATTTATTCATATCTTAGGGTTATGTAAAGTGATCTGAAAGGAAGCCAAAAACTCAATAATATACAGGGTGTTCCATTTAAAAAAAAACATCCAGGTCCACTCACACTTTTCTGAGCCACCCTATAGACGTTAAAATATTTTCCTGAAATACATTCTGGTACATACTTTAGGTTTCTACTTAAACAAAATTCTCAAGTTTTTTATTCTAGGAGCTACAGATGCCCGACGCACTATTGCCGGACCCTGTATATATATCGAAAACCAAACTATTGTGGTGTTCGTACGTTTTTTTGGACTATCTGTATTTTATTTGAATTCATTTTCTAATTTATTTAAATCAATTTTTCTGATTATCGGTATATAAAACTTTTTATATTTTTGAAAATACAGGGTTGTTCACCACATACGACTATACGCCACGGAGTATTGTTGCTAAACGACTAGGTTTTTGCAAATTGTAAGGTTTGGGTTCGTTGAAGGACTATTAGAGCTACAATTTAAAAATATTTTTACAATATACAGGGTGTCCCAAATAAATAAGAAATATCAAAGTTGTATTTTTTTTTAAATGGAAAACCCTGTATATTATTACAGTTTTAGTTTCTACGATTAAAATAAAGGTAAATAATGATTAAGGTTTAATTCACTTAAAGCTTACCTTTTTAAAAATATTTTCAATTTTGTGAAATTGCAGTAAAAATTTTAAGGCTTAATTTCTCCAAGGGTATCAAAGTTTTTAATATTAAATATTTACTGAAGTTTATTTATTGATCAGTTATTGTGTTGCAATAATAAAAATAATACTACCACATACAGAGTGTCTCAAAATTTATTTTAAATAATTTCTAGCTTTAAACGGCAATAACTTGTTTAATTTAAATGGCACATCCTGTATATTTTATGAGACTCAGATGCCTAATTTAATTGCCTATCAAATTTTATTATACCATTTTTTATATACATATCTCTTCAAGTTTTTGTAGAAAATGCATTTCCTTATAATTTAGGCCCCATTTATCAATATACCCATGGAATATTGACATTTTAGTTTGTTTTTAAAGAAACATATGTACAAAATGTACAGGTGCTAAAAACGATATTACTAGCCCATTTGTATGCGAAAAGAAAACTATTTTTTGATCTTTATAAAAGAGTATACCATTAATTAAATATACCACCATTATTTCCTCCCAAATATTAATTAATTACATACTTAATTGAGTTAGTTAATAAATTATTCAAAATAAATGTGGATTTGAATCAGAAATCAATATAATCATAAGTTATGAAAATGAATGTCTCTGTTATAAATAAGCATTCGTCAAAAAAATGAAATCAAATTTTTTAAGGTGTAAACAGTCAATTAATGTAGTTTGAATGCTGGGATCATATTAATTGGTCCTCTTTAACAAATATTTAAACAGTTTTTTTACTTTTTAATGAATGAAATAAACGAACTATATCAAAAATATTAGTATCTGTACTCTTTAAAAATTTGTTATATCTTTAAAAATAATCTAAAATGGATATATTTCCATGGATATATTGATAAAGGAGGTCGAAATTATAAGAAAATGCATTTTCTACGAAAACTTGAAGAGATACGTAGAGAATGATATAATACAATTTGATAGACAATTAAATTGTGCATCTGATTCTCATAAAATATACAGGGTGTTTCATTTAAATTAAACGAGTTGTTGCCGTTTAAAGCTAGTAATTATTTAAAATAAATTTTTAGACGCTCTGTATAAGGTAGTATAATTTTTATTAATGCAACACAAAATTTAGTAAATAGAAATACTTCAGTACAATATTTGGTTTTAAAAACTAAAATACGCCTAGAAAAATGAAGCATTAGAATTGTTACTGTATTTTGACAGAAACAAATATTTCAAAAAACGGTAAGATTAAAATGCGGCAAACCTTAATCAAATTTACCTTTATTTTAATCGTAGAAACTAAAAATGTAATATACATAGGGTGTTCCATTTAAAAAAATACAATTTTGATATTTTTTATTTATTTGGGACACTCTGTATCTTGTAAAAATATTTTTAAATTGTAGCTCTAATAGTCCTTCAATGAACCCAAAACTCACAATTTGCAAAAATCTAATCGTTTAGCTACGATACTCCGTGTCGTATGTGATGAACAACCCTGTAGTTATTTCATATAAAATGTCTCCAGGAGCAGCTTATAGAGAGAAAAAATGCACTGAGAGAAAAACATGCACTGAGAGAAAAACATGCACTGAGAGAAAAACTTTTTCTCGCTGTTTGTTGTAGAAAGTAATGCTATCTTTCATGGCAATTGGCTACTAGTAGAAAAAGAAAGAAAATTTAAATATAAAATTATTCACTATATTTTTCATTCATTAATATAATTTAAAATAAAATTATTCGCTAAATATCATTTTTGGATATAATTCTTATAAACACACCAGGAAATTATTTTTCTTATAGACAACCTTATCGTTGAGACAAATAGGTACATTTTGACAGTAATGATCTAGCGAGAACCTTGATTTGGCCTTTGTTTCATTTTATGTCAAATATTATACATACATTATAACGTTCCTTAGATATGCTGCTTTGGGAATTATAAGAGAATTAGTACTGACAGGTGGTGGCGACGATGACATGAGCCAATTATTAAACACCCTACATTCAGCACCCAGAACCGAGTTAGATTTGAAAATAGACATTTTAGAAGCATTGAGACTGTGCTTGAAGGAATCTCATAGAACTAGGACTGTATTTAGAAAGGTATAATACAGCTATATATTATATACAGGGTGGTCCGAACTGTATTTCGGAAACTTCGGCAGCATATTCTGCAGATAAAAATTAGTAAAAAAGTTCGTATAAATGTATGTCCTAAAATGCTTAGTTTCGGAGAGACAGGGTGTAGAAGTTTCATTTCTGTTTCGATTTTTTCCAAATAATTTCTGAAATAACGTCAATATTTGGATGAAAATTGGTGTCTGGGAGTTTTTTGACATGAGAAATTTGATTTTGATATCTGTATGACTCCTACTAGTAGAGGGCGCCACCTACATATTTTTTAACTGGTTTGAAGAGTAATAACTTTTCGTCCGTACCTGTATAAAACTACTGAGTAAAAAAATATACATTTACGAAGTTTTTTTACGTGGAAAAGGTCTCTTGGTAAAAATCGCTACGAGTAATGGTTTTCGAGATATTAATCGAAATTATCAATACCTGTCATCATTGACATAAATTAAACATGTTGACTAAATAGTTATTAGACTGATATAGATTTGAAATGTTTTTGTGCCAGAAGTTCAACAGAAACTGTTTTATTATCATTCTTTGCAGAAAAATTTATGATCAATTTAAAAAATAAAAATTTCCCAAATTTATTATTTCAATGAAATAACTATCTACTCAATGTGTTTATTTTTCGTCAATAATGACATGTATTGTCTATTTCCATTCTAAATATCTTAAGAACGGTTGCTCATAGCGATTTTTACAAAGAGCTATTTTTTACGTAAAAAGTCATAGAGATGTATATTTTTTCGCTCGGTAGTTTTATACAGGTATGGACAAAAAGTTATTACGCTTCAAAACAGTTAAAACACATATAGGTGGCGCCCTGTACTAGTAGGAGTCATATTGACATCAAAAACAAATTTCTCATGTCAAAAAACTCCCAGGCACCAATTTTCATCCAAATATTGACGTTACTTCAGAAATTATCCAAATAAAAATGAAACTTCTACAACCTGTATCTCTGAAAGTAAGCATTTTAGGACATACATTTATACGAACTTTTAGAAATGCTGCCGAAGTTTCCGGAATACAGTTCGAACCACCCTGTATATGTTATAGGTTTATAACTATTAAAAAACTAGTAACAATTACTTCATTTTAATTCTACAGGCTAATGGATTTATATACGTAACTAGTGTGTTAGTTGCTCTGGAAGGTAGATTAAACCAGAAAGAAACGAACCCGCAAGTGATGAATCTTTTGATATTAGTATTCCAAACGATTTGTACTGCGATGCGTTTCGAGCCGGCTAATGCGAAATTTTTTTACTATGAAATTTGTAAAACTAGTCTCTGTGATACCCTGAAGCTGTTGGGATGTTTTTCCACGGAAAAAGTGACAGCTATTAGTGAGAGCGATTTTGAATCGCCGTCAAATAACTATCATGAAATATTCCATAATTTGTTTGTAGGATCAGTGAATAATGTTAAGTAAGTTTAAATACACATATAGTTCATATCAAATAAACTTTTAGTCACGTGATGAAGCTTGACCGGCACAGCGTTGCCCACTTTTACATATTTTCTTTTAATCCACATATTTTAGGAAACGATAATAAATTGATTTATGTATAAACAGTTATTATTTACATTAACAAAACTCACCTTCTTAACAGAACTTAAGTGACATAAACCAACAACGCTTTATTGTACAGGGTGAGTCAACGATAGAGTAAAGTCCATTATCTCATTTATTTCGAGGTTTACAAAAAAATGTTAAATACAAAAGTTATAGGGAAGGTTAAGATACACATTTTAAGATTATTATAGAGTATACAGGGTCCTTCAGAATTGTGTGGCGGATATAACATATGTTTTTTTAAATGCAACACCCTATTTTTTATTTTATTTTTAGATTCTGCGTAAAATTCTATAACTTTTTTATATATAATGTTATATACCTAAAATTAATGGTTTTTGTAATATTTAAATTTGTTTATACAAATGTTAAATGGCAGTGTGGTAAAAAATTGTCAGTTGTACCATTGTTTCTGAAGTTGGAATACCAAAATTTGGTATGAAAGTTCTATAGAGATTAAAAAGAAGATATATGTTAAGATATTTTAGTTAAATGCTACAGGATGTTTAAAATATATTTATGAATTTCAACTACTTAAAATTAAAAATCTCAAATTTTTTAAATGGTACACCCTATATATTTTCATTTTTTCTGATAGATTTTGCAAAGCTCTTCAACTTATATTAAGTATGTCATATACTTATTTTTAATAGTTTGCGATTTATTCCAATTTTTTCTATTTTTATCCTAATTTTTAATACAATTACGCTATAACATCATAGTTGCCGTGACAAAACAAACATATTTATTACTTATTTTTAACAAGTAGTTTAATAATTAGTTACAATTGTTATTATTAGTCAAAATTAACTAATTTTACTCAAATAAACTAAAATCGTAGTCGTGAATTTCTTGGTGTATTTCTATATTATGACAGTTGATATTTGGATTTTCCGTCGGGCCGAATAGCCGCAGATTAGGGTAATACTAACTAGATTACCTAATTATTGACGACTACTGATATTGAAATTTTCTCCGACATACAGTAAATTTTTTTTTTCGTAGTAATTCTGGTTTATAATTCATTTCGTAAAGCCATAAGCATAATTAATAAAGCATATTACTACTGCCACAAAATCGTCCCATTACACACTGAAAATATTATAATATAATATAATATGAAAATGTTTTCTAGATAATCTACATCTATATTCTTATAGTACTTAGCAAAGTACTATATAATATATAGTACTGAACCAAAAAATATGTTTATTTTGCCTTGTTCGTGTGCATCAGTCACATTGACTAATCCATTTTTAGGAAAATCTGAAACTATTACCTCTACCTCTACCATTTATACAAATTAAACTAAAATTCACTTTTTGTTCTTAACTTGCTTAACAGACATATGAAATTTTGATAATAATTATTTTTTTTGTCATGGTAACTATGATGTTATAGCGTAATTGTATTAAAGATATGGGTAAAAATAGAAAAAATTGGAATAAATCGCAAATTATTAAAAATAGGTATATGACATACTTAATAAAAGTTGAAGAGCTTTGCAAAATCTATCAGAAAAAATGAAAATATATGGGGTGTACCATTTAAAAAAAATAGATTTTTTAATTTTAAGTAGTTGAAATTTATAAATATATTTTAAACACCCTGTCGCATTTAACTAAAATATCTTAACATATATCTTCTTTTTAATCTCTATAGAACTCTCATACCAAATTTTGGTATTCCAACTTCAGAAACAATGGTACCACTGACAATTTTTTGCCACACTGCAATTTCACATTTGTATAAACAAATTTAAATATTACAAAAACTATTAATTTTAGGTATATAACGTTATACATAAAAAAGGTATAGAATTTTACGCAAAATCTAAAAATGAAATAAAAAATAGGGTGTTGCCTTTAAAAAAAACATATGTTATATCCGCCACACTTTTTTGAAGCACCCTGTATACTCTATAATAATTTTAAAATGTGTATCTTAATCTTCCCTATAACTTTTGTATGTAACATTTTTTTGTAAACCTCGAAACAAATGAGATAATGGACTTTACTCTATCGTTGACTCACCCTGTACAAAAAGTCAGAATAGCTTCATTGACAAAGCATTTACAAAACAAACAAAAGCACAAAAAAAAATTATATAAATAATTAAAAATATCATACAATACAAATCAATTTAAAAAAATTTACGTCATTAAAATTACAAATAAAACATACATGGACATTGCAGAACACAGGCGTATCAATAAAATTTTACAAAAGGAAAATTGTAAATGGATAAAATCATGTAAGAGTTATAAAATATTAAATATTAAATACTAAACCTTTAACCAGTGTGTGAGATGAGCAAAATTTTAAAATTCAAAATTGTTCATGATTAAACATCAACAAAAAAAGTCGTTTACCGTATATAGGACTCTCTCCAGTAAGTATGATTTCAGAGCTTTGCGAAATGCGGGAAAGAATGAAAGTGACTTGATATTCAAAGGCAGACGATTGTACCTTTTTTTGGCATTGTACAGTATTGAGCCTTTAACTAGTTCTGAGCTCGGGGTTGGCAGATAAAGATCGTGCTCCGCATTCCTAAGTGGATAGTTGTGAGATGGCCTTTCCGGAATAGCAAACGGCTTCAAAAATGAATATGGAAGGAAGAGTCAGTATTTTGGAATTTTTAAAGAAATTCTGGCAGTGAGTTCTACTGTTCAGCCCCAATAAATATTGAACTGCTCTCTTTTGAAGTTTGAAAATACGATCAAATTTTGTCGCGCAGCAAGTACCCCAGAATGGAAGGGCATAATGAAAATGCGACTCAAAAAGGTGATAATAGACCATTCTAGAAGTTGATAAGTTAAGTTCCTTAGAAACTGATCTTAGCGCAAAACACAGGCAGCGCTTAGTTTCTTTGATAAAGCTTCGATGTCCAAGTCCCATTTTAACGAGTTGTCTACAACAAGTCCTAAGAATTTCACAGAATCCACGACGTCAATAGTGGTGTTATTAAGTACAAAAGGTTGTATAGTACTTTTTTATGATAAAACTTTAGTTTTTGAAAGGTTGAGGCATAGGAGATTAGAATTGCACCAAGATTTAATGGTACGTAATAAGTCATTGGATATAGTATTATATAGTGCCATAACATCTGGGCCGCTCCAAGTGAAACTAGTATCGTCCGCAAAGAGGCAGATTTTACCGCTAATGTCTAGATTTGCAATGTCGTTGATAAACACCAGAAACAAAATAGGGTCAAGTACTGAACCCTGAGGAACATCACATTCTATAGACTTACAAGAAGACATAGACGTATCAATCCTCACAAGCTGCCTTCTGTTGCATATTACTTAAGCCATTCGAGCGGCACTTCCCTGAATCCATAGTATTGCAATTTGTTAATTAAGATATTATGATTTACACAGTCGAAAGCCTTAGAGAAATCACAGAAAATTGTAGCTGTAGAGTGATGGTTATTCAGGCTAGAGTATACATTATTAAACAGGTCGAACATAGCATCATTTTAAGAGCATTTTTAAAAACTCTCGTGTGAAAGCTTTAGTGATTTGTCACACGGTGGCGCTTTTGAACATAATCGAAGCCTGAAAATGCTAATATTTTAAATTTTGAGGACTACGCGCCGCGATATTTCGTACGGTGTTGCCAAAACATATTTTATTTCTCGATCTTTAAAGAAATATGTATTGATTATATATTTCGTATTCGTTGTACATGAGGCATCCTAAGGCTATAAAAACGTAGCTATGAAAATAAAATTTTAGATTTTTAATTTTTTTGTACCTTCTAATAAAAATTACTTCTATTCCAATAAAAAATTAACCAGTATGATTATGTGTTATCTGTGCTAGTATTAGGAAACTGGAGTAAATACGGAGAATATTAATTCGTTCTCTAAGATGAGCACTACTAAGTAATTTTTTAAAATTCGACCCATAAGGGGGTGTAATTAGATAAAGGGGTGTAATTATACAAAAAAAATCTGTACCTACAAGGAGTATGAACTTTTGCACAGATGTGGCGCATTTGAACATTGATAAGCGATTTTTGGAAATGTATAGCCTAAGGATAGTGAAACTGGGGGGTGAAATTTTGTACAAAAAATGTTAGTTCTAGGAGTATGAAATTTTGTACAGAGTTTCCTTAAGTGACGAAAGTGAGTACCCAGAAGCTAATTCTTGACATTCGTCCCCTAGAAATAAGGGATGAAAATTTGTACAAAAATTTGTTACAATCGGTTTTAGAAGTAGGAAATTCTGAACAGACGTTCCTTATGTAACGTAATTTAGCACTAAGTAGCACTTTTTGGAAATTCGCCCTCTAAGGGTGTGAAATGAGGGGTGAACGTTCTGAAACAATTCTTTTGAAGGAATATGAAAATTTGCACAGAGGTTCCTTATGTAGCGTAATTGAATAATTAGAGTGATTTTTGGAATTCATTCCTTAAGGGGGTAAAACTAGGGGTGAAAACTTGTATAATTTTTTATGTAAAATCCGTTCTAGGACTAGGAGTATGAAATTCTGTTCAGAGGTCCCTTAAATGATGAAAGTGAGTACCTAGAAGCGAATTTTAGGCATGCATCCCCTAAAAAATAAGGGATGAAAATTTGAACAAAAATTTGTTAAAATCGGTTTTAGAAGTATGAATTTTCCAGACGTTCCTTTCCGTAATTTAGCATTAAGAAGCAATTTTTGGAAATTTGCCCTCTAAGAGTGTGAAATGAGGGGTTGAATGTTCTGAAACAATAAATTCTGTTCAAGGAATATGAGAATTTGCACAGAGGTTTATTATGTAGCGTAATTGAATAATTAGAGCGATTTTTGGAATTCATTCCTTAAGGGGATAAAACTAAGGGAAAAATTTGTATAATTTTTACGTA